CTGAGCTCCCCATTGTCTGGGGGGTAAAGTCCAGGCGCCTCCACAATCGCCCGGCCCTGCCTATCAGACCGTAGACCTTATCTCGGGCTCTGACCTCCCGTCCCCTCGAGTCCGGCTCCTCCCCCGTGTGACCTCAAAACCGACACCTGCCTGGCAAGGGGCCCTGCCACAGGCCACCTCTCTCTTCTCCTCTCGACCCTCCTCCCCGATCAGCCCTCCCAGACGCCTCCGGGGCAGCTGATTTCCCTCTGAACGCTTCCTGTAGCTCATAATAAATTAGGGGTTTCCCCCCTGCCCACCACCTGTCTTTGGGAATCTAGCATGACCCAGCAAAGTGAAAAGCCCTGTAGTCCTGTGCAAACGGGCCTCCTCTGAGAACTGGACAGGGGAAAGAAAGACCCCCAGCTCCGAGAGATGAGAACAGCGTGCAGGGCTCTGGGTTAGAATTAAATCAGGTGCAAAGCAGCTGTCCCATGCCAAACATCCAAGGCAGCGTGAAAGAAATGCCACGCCAAAGGCTGAAGCTTTGCCAGCGATGATTTATTAAACTTCTCTCTACTTCTGGGTGTGTTTGAAAATGATCCAAATAAGCATTTTGGGGGGTGGGGGGGTCCACCCAGAGGTGCTCAGGGGTTCCTCCTGGCTCTACACTCAGGAATAACTCCTGTTGTGCTCAGGGGACCATATGGATCGAACTCATGTCAGCCGTATACAAGGCAAACTCCCTGCCCGCTGTACTAGCGCTCCAGCCCTGAGCAAACTATTTCAAATGCACACTGATGGCTCATCTTGGGAAAAGCATCTCCTCACTGGTCCTTTTGTTTCTGTGAACGTGGGGGTCGTTCACCCCCTGGATGGTGTCTCCTGAGATTTCGCTGTCAGAAAATCCCCGTTCCAGGGCTGGAGTAGATAGCACAAGGGTAGGGTGTTTGCCTTGCATGCGGCCCAACCCGGGTTCAATTCCCAGCATCCCATATGGTCCCCTGAGCACGACCAGGAGTAATTCCTGAGTGCATGAACCAGGAGTAATCCCTGTGCATCGCTGGGTGTGACCCAAAAAGAAAAAAAAAAGAAAGAAAGGAAATCCCCGTTCCAGGGTCAGGAGACCTGGCGTGAGCCTCTCAGCTCTCCTTGGATGACTGGCTGAGCCAGTGAATCGTTTTTCTTATCGATTATATGAGGAAGTTAAACTGGCCAACCTCTGAGTTCCTGTTCGGTGTTAAAACCCTGATTCTAAAGCCCAAGCTCCCAAATTGGCAAGTCCCGGTGCAATATTACAGCCAACCTGCCCATGCTATAACACCCTGCTATGAATACTGCCCTTGTACACTGAGAGACAATCTCTCTACATTCTGATCTCTTTCCCTGAGCTGCAAAGGGCTGGCGGAGAATCCATCCACGAATGCCACACCTTGGGGGACTCAAACATTGGCGGGGAATGGGGTGGCGGTGGGGTGTCTGACAGTTTTATACGTTGCAGTTGGACGGAAAATTCCCTGAAGTTCCACAACATCATAAACTAATGAATAGTCGATGAAAAAAACATTTTAAGAAAGCCGTTTTGAGTTCTTCCTGGCAAGAGCTCACCATTCAGCAGAACTCAGGAGAAGTGCTAGAGAGAAAGTACAGGGGTTAAGGCACTTGCCTTGCATGCGGTTGACCCAAGTTCTATCCCTGGGGGACGGAGCGATAGCACAGCGGATAGGGCATTTGCCTTGCACGCAGCCGAGCCGGGTTTGAATCCCAGCATCCCATATGGTTCCCTGAGCACCACCAGGAGTAATTCCTGAGTGCAAAGCCAGGAGGAACCCCTGCGCATCCCTGGGTGTGACCCAAAAAGAAAAAAAAAAGTTCTATCTCTGGTACCAAATTGAACCCCCCAAGCAAATCACCCAAGCACCAGCAGGTGTGATCCCTGGCCAGGAGCAACCGGATGTGCCCCCCAAAAAGAAAACAGGGAAAGCAAACCAAAAAAAGGAAAAAAAAAAAAGAAATACCAGACCAGGACAGCTGTTTTGGTGGTACAACACAGTTCTCACTTGCATGAGGCCCGGGGACTGATCTCGACACTGAAAACTCAACTCAGGATGTGGGAGACAGCACGGAAACGAGCCAAGCAGATGCCTGAGCTGTGCAGCCTCCCAGAGTACCCGCAGCATCCCATGGCCAGCTGCAGGCAGAGGCTAAGGCCTGTGGCAAGGTCGAGAGAGAGAGAAAGCTGAGAGGAGCCCAGGACCCAAAGCCCATCACACGGAGCCTCTAGAATCTCTCATCATTGCCCTCCTCTCCCCTACCCCCACCATTCCCTCCTGCCCTGCATGCACAGCTTGTGTGCTAGGGACCCCTGGGTTCATACCTCAGAGGAACCCGTGAGCCTCGCTGCCAGGTCTCCTGGAAACAGCCACGTAGGGAACACTGTCTGTTTCACGTTGGATCATCCTGATAACTGAGATTTCAGTGGAGGAAACTGCGGCTGAGAAAGGCCCAGTCGACTGATTTAGGAGCCCACAGGCGGGGGCGGGCAGAGACTCAGATGCAGGCTCACTCCTGGGCGGTCCCAGGTCCATTGCTGCAGTTTTCACAGATGCTCAGAGCTGAGGGTCAGCGGCCCCTCTCGCCAGAGTCCTGTGATGTAGGAGCCGGGACCCCTGGGTCACTCAGTCCTAGGGAAGTGTTTGGAGGATTACACAGGAACAGCGTCTTCATTGCTGCACTGAGCACAGAAAGGTACGGAAACAGGGCCAAGCGATAGGACAGTGGGTCTGGAGCTTGTCTTGCACACAGCCAAGCTGGGTTCGATCCCTGACACTCCATATACTCTCCCGAGTCCCACTGGAGTAGTTTCTGAGTCCAGAGCCAGGAGTAAACCCTGAGCATTGGTGGGCATGGCCCAAACACCATTTATTTGTATACATGTCTATGTATATATATGTATAAATACATACATATATACACATATACACTCCACAACAGGTTGTTTTCACTCAGGGAGCCCCAGAGGGTGGTAGATGAGAGCCCTCCCACCCCAAAGGACCCAGCCCTGGCAGCTGACCTCCACTACCCAACCGCTGCCACACTCCAGACCAATTTCAGGACACATCATAAAACACTTCCTACCCATTTTCTATAATTACCACACCATGTTTGATGGAGTTCAGACAGTAGGCAACAGATCATATATATACATATATATGTATATATAGCACTGTAGCACTGTCCTCCCATTGTTCATCAATTTGCTCGAGTGGGCCCAGTAACGTCTCCTTTGTGAGACTTATTGTTACTGTGTCTGGCATATCGAATACGTCATGGGTAGCTTGCCAGGCTTTGCCGTGCAGGCGAGATACTCTCGGTAGCTTGCTGGGCTCTCCTAGAGAGGTAGAGGAATTGAACCCAGGTTGACAGGGCAGGCTGCGTGCAAGACGAACGCCCTACCGCTGTGCCATCGCTCTAGATATATATAGATATAGATATAGATTAGAGAGCCCGGCAAGCCACCAAGAGTATCCCGCCCGCATAGGCAGAGCCTGGCAAGCTCCCCATGGCATATTCAATATGTCAAAACCAGTAAATACAATGGGTCTCATTCCCCTAACCCTGAAAGAGCCTCCAATCGTTGGGAAAGACAGGTAAGGAGAGGCTGCTAAAATCTCAGGGCTGGGACGAATGGAGACATTACTGGCGCCCGCTCGAATAAATCGATGAACAACGGGATGACGGTGGTGACAGTGATACATATACACGTATTTAAATATTTATTTTTATAACCATTACATATACATATATAGCACAGCAGATAGAGCATTTGCCTTGTAGGTGGCCGACCCAGGTTCTATTCCTCCCTCCCTCTCCGAGAGCCCAGCAAGCTACTGAGAGTATCCTGCTCACACAGCAGAGCCTGGCAAGTTCCCCATGGCGTATTTGATATGCCAAAAATAGTCACAACAAGTCTCACAATGAAGACATCACTGGTGCCCGCTCAAGCAAATCGATGAACGGGAGGACAGTGCTACAGTGCTACAGTGTATATATTTTATATATATTATATAAATATTATTATATATTGGGCTGGAGCAATAGCACAGCAGGTAGAGCATTTGCCTTGCATGCGGCCAGCCCAGGTTTGATTCCTCTGTCCCTCTCGGGGAGCCCAGCAAGCTTCGGAGAGTATCCCGCCCACACGACAGAGCCTGGCAGGGTCCCCGTGGCGTATTCAATATGCCAAAAACAGTAACAAGCCTCACAATGGAGACGTTACTGGTCCCCACTCAAGCAAATCAATGAGCAACAGGAGAACAGTGCTACAGCGCAGTGCTATTACATATTACATACATGCATATATGAGTACACATATAATTAAAAATATGTGTATATGTATATAAGTGATATGTATATATAGGTATATATAAACACCCCAAATGCCCAACTACAGACGAAAGAGTCAACAATGAAATACTATGCAGCGGCTCAAAGAAAGAGCAACATGGGTGGACCGGAGGAGGTTAAGGACAGAATGCTGTCTCCTATGTGGGACTTGGAGATACACAGCGGAGATCTAAGAAGGACACACACAGCTGAGTAGGGGACTGGGGGAGTGAAGAGGGGGCTGAGTTCCTTGGGGGAAGAAGAAAGTACATGGTGATGGGGGTGACGTTGGAATTCTGTCCATGCGAAGCCTTGATTAATAGCATCGTAAACCAAAATATGATAAAATTAATTAAAAACAAATAGTTTTTGAAAGTCAAAAAAATAGAAGGAAAAAAACTGCCCCTGTGCAGAGGGAAGCACAGAGCCAGCACCAGGCGCCCTCAACCTCACGCCCCCCAGTGGTGGGCGCGGGAAACACACCAGGTGGCCCGCCCACGGGCGCACTGCGCAGGCGCGCTCCCGCCTCTTCCCCCCCCACCGACCGCGGCTGCGCACTCGCAGAGTTTTGCGGCCGTGTTGCTTGACGGCAGCGGGTCCCGCCCCCCAGGCCGGCGTTGCCGGGGTAACGGCGCGCGCGTGGGGCGCAGGAGGTAAGAGTCGGGTGCGGAGGGAGTGGCGCGGGGTCCCCGGGGAAGCCGGTCCCGCAACACCCGCAGAGGGGTCCCCGGGCCGCACTGCTGACCCCTAGGGCACCGGAGCTCGGCCAGCGCCTCGGGCCCGGAACTAGCCGCTGCCCCGCGGCCCCCGGAAATAGCCGCTGGCCCCGGAAACAGCCGCGGTCCCTGGAAGTAGCCGCTGCCCCCGGAAATAGCCGCTGGCCCAGAATTAGCCAGTGCCCCCGGCACTAGCCCTCCCCCCCCGCTTCTCCCTGGAGCTAGCTGGTGCCCCCCGGAACTAGCCGGTATCTCCCCCGAATAATAGCCAGTGTCCACCGGAACTAACCAGTACCCCCCGGAATAGCCGGTTCCCCCCCCGCTTCCCCCCGGAGTAGCCGGTGCCCCCGGAACTAACTTGTGCCCCCCCGGAATAGCCCGTGTCCCACCTGCTCCCCCCGGAGTAGCCCTTGGCCCCCCAGTAGCTCGTGCCTTTCCTGCTCCCCTCCCCCCCAGAATAGCCCGTGCCCCTCCTGCTCCCACGGAATAGCCCATACCCCCCCCACTACCCCAGCTACCAGCCCTGCCCCCTTCCTGGTGCGACTCTGCTTTGGCACGCCCAAGCCGGGGGTCCCCCCTGTCACGGAGCCTCATGTGTGGCGGTGGGAGTTGTGCCTTTGGAGCCCCGGGGCCTGGGGTGCAGGTGGTGGGAGTCACCCCTGCCTCTGTTTACCCGACTGATCCCACGGACTGCCGCTCATCGGGTCCTGACGGGAAAGGACTGTGCGCCCCTCGCCCAGCGCCTGGGAGGGGGTCACCGCTGCTGGGGCAGGTGCTTCCGATTTCCTCCTCCTCCCCCCCCTCCCCCCCCCCCGTGGGGCTTATTTTGGCTTTTGAGTAAATAGTAGTCCAGCTCCCTGGTGGTTTGGGTTGTCTGCACCGTCAAAGAAGGTCAACAGTCTCCGGCAGGACTCTGGAGTGAGGCCCACCGGCCTCGCCAGCCCCCATGTCCCGCAGTTGCAGTCACCCGGAGCCTGAGTCCTTGCCTCCCACGCCCAGCAGGGACAATACCCATTCTGTAATTCGGGTAGCTGTCAAGTGTGAACTGACCGCTTCTCACCAGGGCAGGGACCTCGCCCCCTGTTGAATCACTGGGCGGCACCCCAGGATTTCTGGTGTGGCAGGTCTGGGCGTTGGGAGTCCTGAGACTCCAGCTGATGGAACCAGCGGGCAGCAAAGCTTGTCAGATCTCTGCTGCGCACTGGATCCCTCTGCGGTGTCATTCTCTGGGTCAGAACCTGCAGGCCTTCCCAGTTGGAACCAGCCTTAGCACCCCAGACCTTCCGAGGCGTCCCAGCGCTTACTGGGACCCTGCTGTGCCCGTGACACTCTGGACTGATGACTGATGACACTCTGGACAGAGAGCGGCTGATCCCTTGTCTCTGAAAGTAATACAGGAGGGGAGGGCACTTTCCTTGCCTGCGGCTGACCTGGGTTTGATCCCCCACGCCACATGGTACTCCGAGCAGCACCAGGAGCAATTCCTGGGTGTAGAGCTGGAAGTAACCCCTGAGTGTTGCTAGGTGTGGCCCAAAACAAAAAAAGTAATGCATCGAGGGTAAGAGAAACTGCTGCTCTCGTTTCTTCTCATCCTCCGCCCCTGACAACAGTTGATGTGGGCCACTCCCGCTCGGTCCTCCGGGCTTGTCTCCTGAGATGCGTGGAGAGCAGACGTCAGTCCAGCCAGGCAGTGCCCGCTCCAGCCCTCTGCATGACATCCTGACTGGGAAGAAACATTTCTTAAAGTCCCGTTGCATAGTGGGCCCTTCCCTGTATCAGCTGCCTTCCTCCACACTTGAGGCAGGCTTCCGATTGTGGGCCAGTCCGCCTGGACCTTGTCTCTACTGTCCTCGGGTCAGAACCACGTGTTGATGGGTAAAGGAACCAACAGGATAGCCTCTCGGGATCTGTACTGCAAACCAGACAGGAGGGAGGGTGGCCGGAGGGAAGCTGGGGACGCTGGTGGTGGGGAATGCGCTGATGAAGGGATGGGCGTTGGAACACGGTGACTGAAACCCGACCGTGAACAGCTTTGTGACTGTCACACGGTGACTCAAGCACCTGTTGCCTGGAGAACAGCAAGTTCGGAACCTCCTCTCCTGCTGTGTATTCCAAGTTCATTCATAGCAGCACACAACTCCATAGAACTCTGAAACTGGCGATCATCGTGTTTGTCCTGGTGTGTGTGTGTGTGTGTGTGTGTGTGTGTGTGTGTGTGTGTGTCTCACTAGGGACCAAACTCAGGGCCCCACACGGATGCTCTAACTCTTCCGCCTGGTCGCCTCTTTCCCTTGCTCCATTGTCCGCATCCCATAAAATTCACGGCTGGAAAGCACGCAGCTTTATTTCAGCCCACGACAGTTGTGAGTCCGTCACTGCAGTCCAATTCCCAGATATCCTCCTCGCCCCAGACCCCACACTTGCTGTAGTCTCCCCACCCCCACCCCCACCCCCTACCCCACGCCTCCACCATCGGCTTCCGAGAACGCTCCTGTTCTGGATGTCGCCTGGCAGTGGCCGCGTGCGCTGGGCTGCCACTCTGCACCGGCTGCTTCTGTCACTTAAGGGCCACACATGCCACCGCCTGGTTTCTCAGCAACAGTCTGCCCTGTGCCCGGCGAGTCCTCTGCCGGTGGCCCCTGGGGTTGCTTCCGCGTGGGGTTGTGGTGAGCCGTGCCTCCGCGTGTGGACACGAACACGTCTGCACTCCGTCCTCGGGCTGATCGGGATTAGAGTGGAGTGTCCGGGGCAGAAGGAAACTCGATATTTAGCCCGTGATGAGACAGCCGGGTTGTTTTCCTGTCCTGCTTCAGCTGGAACCTGGGGGGCCAGGGGGGAGATCACAAGAGAACAGTGGCAGTGTTGGGTGTCCGGACGGCCTCTGGTATTCCTGAAAGTGGGCCTCCCGGGGCAGAGGGGACACTCGAGCTCCATCTGGGGACCAGGTGGGGCACCGGCCAGTGCTGGCAGTGTTCCCACCATCGGTCTCCTCGCTGAGTCTTGGTATTGCCAGCCTGGAAGGGGAAGCCTCATGGGCCAGACCGGGCAAGCACAACTTCTCATCTTCCCTGCTCTACAGAATATTTTTTTTTTTTGCTTTTTTTTTTTTTTTTTTTTTTTTGGTGCACCAGCGATGCACAGGGGTTACTCCTGGCTCTCTCTGCACTCAGGAATTACTCCTGGCGGTGCTCAAGGAACCATATGGGATGCTGGGAATCCATCTTGGGTCAGCTGCCTGCAAGGCAAACACCCTGCCTGCTATGCTATCGCTCCAGCCCCACGACAGAATTTTTAATTGGGAGTTTTTTAAATTAACCACTAAACCCTTTCTCTCTCACCCTTTTTTTTAAAAAAAAAAAAAAAGGAAAGTTTAAATGTAATATGTACAATTGAAAATACCAGGATGAAGTTATACAAGTGAAAATCTCATAAAAGTTCCAATGGTCCCTAGAAAGTTGCTTACTGGACCCCAACATCCTGCCTTTAAAAAATGTTTTTAGCATAGTGCTATGTTTTAGCATGAATTACTGTTTTTGGTTGAGCAATGAATGGAGTAGTTGGCATGTGTTGCGGGGTTAGTAAAAATCTAGTCGGCACACGCTCACAGAAGCTCTCTTGGTTGCCCATTACCTGTTGTACCTACGGTTTATCAGGCTCTGCAGCAAAGTGCTCACATACGCACAGACTGCCTGGCAGTGTAGTGGGGTAGCAGCTGCTGGACAAACCCTGGGGACAAGCCCTGCGATCACTGAGTTCTCAGGGTACTTGGGCAAGTCCCCGAGAGGTTCCAACTTGCTCATTCTTCGTCTTCATGGCTATTCTTTGCTTGTTTGTTTTGGGGCCACACCCAATTCTGCTCCGTCTTACTCCTGGCTGAGCTCAGGGGTCACCCCTGGCAGACTTGGAGTGCTGGGGCTCGGACCCAGACCACCCGCCCGTCTCTCCAGCCGTTTCTTTGTCATGTTCATGCCCACCAGGTGCTGGGGCTCTGCGCAGAGTCCCCCTGGGCTTGGGCGCCTTTCCCTGTGCATCAGCCTTGTTCCCCTGGGTGTCATATGGTCCCCCGGAAGGGTGAGCTAGAGCTTCAGGCTTCCCGAACTCCCTCGTGGCTCTGGGTTTGCTGGGAGCAGTTCCACTTGTCATCTCGGAAGCAGCAGGGTACTTGCAGCTGCACCCCAGGGTGGCCCCTTCCCTGCTCACCCTGCAGTTTCCTCTGGGTGCTCGGTCACTGCACACCCTGTAGCAACTGGTCCCCGTCGCTCTGTGCGTCAGTTTCGCTGATAAGGAAACCCACGCACAGTGGGCACAAGGGGGCTCAACCCAGAATGGCACTGCTCCGGGGCAACCACGCTGAGGCAGTCCGACCCGAGCCCCCCGTCACCCTCGCAGTGCATCTTGACAGTGGCCACAGCGTTGTGGCTATTACTTATTTTAAAAATTGGGAGGTGAGGGCTAGAACGGTAATACAGTGGGTAGGGCATTTGCCTTGCACGTAGCCGACCCGGGTTCAATTCCCAGGATCCCATGTGGTCCCCTGAGCACCGCCAGGAGTAATTCCTGAGTGCAGAGCCAGGAGGTACCCTGAGCATCGCCGGTGGTGAGTCCAGGCCAGGGCTGGGTACTTACCCTCATGTGACACATAGGATCCTCAGGCCCTGCCAGGTGTCGCCCCCACAAACACCTGGGAGAGATGGCACCAGGGAGTTGGCTTGGGCGCACAGGTGCAGACCTCACGGCCACAAGGTCCAGGGGTCACAAGTGCCCTCTGAGTGCCCCGAGGACGAGTGCCCCTGATGGCTGGGCCGGAGCCCTCTGCCATCCCCACAGTGGACCACGCGTCAGCTGAAGTCCCTGTCCCTCCAGCGTGCTCACATGGGCCCCCACGAGTGCTGCTGGCTGACCTGAGTCTTGGCAAGTTAGGGGCCTTCTCTGGGGGATGGCGTGCTGGCTCGACCTCATGCTTTTTTGTTGTTCAGGGCCGCGCCTGGCGGTGCCCAGGACTGACTCCTGGATCTGTGCTCAGGGTTGGCTCCCGGCAGGGCTCGGGGGATCAAACCCAGGCCACCCACATGCAGAGCAAGGACCCTCCCCGTTTTGCTATCTCCTGGCACTGGGATGGATCTCCCTGAGGTGACCGTGATACCCATGATTCTCTCTGCCCAAAGTGCTGGTGGTGGGGTCCCTGTGAGGTGGCTGGCGGGGAAGGGAGCAGCTGCCCTCCTGGTCCTTGAGGCCCGCATGCAGCCGTGATGTCACCTTGTCACACCTTAGGGCCCTCAGCCGTCCACAGCGATGCCGCTGGCGTTCCTCAGGGGGCCACTGCCCCGTGCGTTGGGGGATATCCCCATTCCCCCCCCCGAACCCCACTGTTCTAGAAATGATGGCCGTTCCTGTGGTTCCTCTCTGCAGCCCCGGGCGATGGCGGAGGCCGTTTTCCGCGCCCCGAAGCGGAAGAGGCGAGTGTTCGAGAGTTTCGAGGGCCCTTTGCCGCTCCCCTTCGGGCCCAGGAAGGACTTCAGGCTGTTCCGTGCCGAGCTGCTGAACAACGGCGTGATGGTGAGGGACGCGGCGGAGATGGAGCAGCTGTACGGAAAGGTAAGCCAGGCGCTACCCACCCCCCTCCCGTTCCCCTCCCCAGCACCCTTGGGTGGTCTCAGTAAAACAGTTTCCAGGCAGAGACTAGAGCGTCCAGGTGAAGGGTGGCCACTCGCTGCCCTCCCCTTCCGCTCCCAGCAGCACGTTGCTCGCCTCTGAACTGACCCTCCCCGGTGGGGCCCCTCCCCGGGTTGGTCCTGATGGCCGGTCAGTGACGGGTCCAGGCGGAGCTGGAGGATTTGCTCAGTCAGTCCACCTGCGGGGGTGTCTTCACACAGCTGCAGGAGGGCCCCTCAGGGCCCAAATGCTCTCCTGGGCAGTGTCCAGTCAACAGTCTCGCCACCCCATCCCCACAGAAGCCCCTGCTTACCACGCCCCGCACCCCACTTCTGTCCCCGCAGGGGCGCCCCTCCACCCCCGGGCTGAAATCCAGGTGTGCAGCCCCTTCTCCAGTGGAGACTGGGGGGCTCGGACCCTGGAGGGCAGACTCATGCGGTCACACGTGACCGCGGTCAGCAGGAGGCTTTGCGAAGTTCTGCGGCAGAAATTCCTGTGCTGGTTCCGTCGAGGTGGATGGTGGATGGTGGCGGTTTCCGTCCCTCCGTGTGCCTCTGGGGTTAGATGCTTCCTTGGTTTTAATGGGGCAGAAGCCGTGTAGTTTCAGGGGCAGAGCAGGAGGAAAAGGAGTACTGTGTCCCGGTCACTCAGGGAAGGGGGAGTACTCTATCCTGGTCACGCGGGGAGGGGTACTCTGTCCCGGACCATCACGGAGGAATCTGAGACGCTCCTCCCTGTGTCTCGGAGCTCGGCCTGCCCCAGCCTCCGCTCCTGCCCCTTGTGGGAAGATGAGCCACTTCATGCACCCAATACCTGTGCTCCGGGCCTGGGCTGCCAGCGCGGGGGGTCATGCCACCTCTTCCTGGCGCGTGAGCTCGTCTCAGGGAAGAGGACTTGAATAGTGGCACAAAGCGCGTGTTCACTCAGGGTCTCCCTCAATGAAACCTAGAGACACGGGGACGGGGCTTAGCTGGAGCCTTCAAGCCTGTGTCTTGCACGGGTGAGGCCCCGGGTTCGATCCCAGTGGCACATTTTCACCCAGCAACACTAGATACTGCCCATTCGGGGGCAGGGTGGGCAGGCACCTCCAGGAGCCCCCTCGGAAGTAGTTGAACATGAATCAGCCACGTCTGAACCAACTTTGTTTCTCTCTTCCCGGAAGGGCTACTTTGGGAAGGGAATCCTCTCCAGAAGCCGGCCCAGGTTCACGGTGTCAGACCCGAAGCTGGCTGCAAGGTGGAAAGGTAAGTGCCCGCACCCCCTCTCGGCCAGGCCCCCCGCCTCACGTGTGCAGGCTGTGCGGGGTCCTGAGTGTCTTCCCAGACCCCATTTACTTGTTTTTTGCATCTTGCGCTTTAAATTATAGACTAAAATTCTAGAGAAGTAACATGCGCACTGCCACCAATAACAACTGGAATAACTAGAAATTTTCCTGGCGACAATATAGCAACTAGAATAATTCTACTCAAATGAAAGGGTTCTTCTGATCAGTGAAAGTAAGTCTTAAATATTTCTGGACCCAGCCAGGGTTCTGTCAGGCTTTTTACATTGTTGGCACAGCCTCGCAGAGTGCCGTGGAGGTGGAAGGTTCTGGTAACGAAGCACCTGCTCTCCTGCTGTGCCGCTGTGTTAGTTCCTCTGTTCCCAGAGTCCGGGCTGACGGTGACGGCCGTGGTGCCAATGGGCTTTTTCTCAGCCGTGCTGCGATGTGTGGTCCCCCTGCTGGCCTCTGCTTTCGTTTGCAAGCCCCCGTCATACTAAATATCTCCAAGGAGTCTCGTGACCATTTTCTAACCAATGCCAGCAGAGTAAACCATCACGAGAGGGCAGGGAGAGATTCCCAGCTCCAGGCACCCACCTTGCCTGTGGCCAGCCCTGTGCAGCCCCAGCCCCATGGGTGGTCCCCTGAGCACTGAGTCAGGAGGAGGACTGAGCACCGACGCCTGAGCCTTTTACCTGGCCCTGAGCCTGGGCTTGTCATGTCAGGCCGGGTTCCGCCCCGCCCGTGACCGCTGCGTGCATCCGTTCACACACTGGTGACTCTGGCCCGTGGCTCTCGGCCTCTTCACACCTCCAGGCGACTTGGGAAAACCACAGGTCAGGGAGGGGCCTCGGAGGGCTGGAGTCTCTGCTCTGTGTGCAAAGCCCTGGGTTCGAGTCCCAGCTCCATCCGGTCCACGAGTGCCCAGCCCCGGGGCTGCCCCAAGACAGAACTGAAGCCCACCATCAGTGAATCCGAGTCCCTTTGCACACCCGCAGGGGTTCCCGTGGACTGGCGCTGTGCAGTCACTGCTCTGCGTCACTTCGCTTCGGGGCTGCTCGAAACAGCATCGCTGTGGACCTTCTTGTGCACACTTACTTCCTTGGGGCCTCTGGGGGTCCCTGCTGGATCGTCAGTAGTTCCGGTGTCTGGGGCGCTCAGACCAGCTGCACACCACACCTCGTGACACCGCTGTCGCCGGGCTCCTTCCTGGGGGCAGCCATGCGGACGGGTGTCAAGTGGGAAAGTGTCACTCATCTTTGTCCTCTTGTCATCTCTAAACTACAGAGTTGTATTAAAGAAACTTCCCAAGTCCAGCTTATATGGATGGTCCCTGACACTCGCCCGAGACTGTTAGGTTCCCCTGATGGAAGAACAGCTTAAAGTTGACCCATTTGGTATTTTCTGCTTATGGCGTCAGACCTCCCCTTGGATCGTTCTGGTCAGGGTCAATGGCCGGGTATCCCCCTGTATGCATTTACTTCTAACCCAGCATCCCTTTTCTAGAATTTATCTTAAAACGTACTCTGGTGAAAATATGAAAAGAGGAACCAGAGTGATAGGACAGCAGGGAGGGCGTTTGCCTTGTGTGTGGCTGACTGAGTTCGATCCCCGGCATCCCATATGGTCCCCAAGCACCGCCAGGAGAGATTCCTGAGTGCAGAACCAGGAGGAACCCCTGTGCATCACCAGGTGTGGTCCAAAACCAAAAAATACACACACGTACACACACACACACACCCCTATCTATGTGTGCACATACGTATGTAATATGTGTGTGTGTGTGTGTGTGTGTGTGTCTCGCCCGCACGACAAAGCCTGGCAAGCTACCCATGACGTATTCAATATGCCAAACACACAATAACAAGTCTCACGATGGAGACGTTACTGGGCCCACTCAAGCAAATCAATGAAAATGAGCAACGGGAGGACAGTGCTATAGTGCTGTATATATATACATACACACACACACACACACACACACACACACACACATATATATATAGAGAGAGAGAGAGAGAGAAAAGTAGGGCGCTTGCTTGTATGCAGCTGACCTGAGTTCAATCCTGGTACCCCACAGGGTCCTCTGAGCTCCACCAGGAATGATCCCTCAGCATAGGAGTAAACCCTGAGCACTGCCCAGCATGTCCCCAAAACAACGCAACGACAAAACAATATTACATAGTCCAAGTGTTAAGTTCAGATCATAGAGAGGAACGAGGCATCAGATTACTCCGCAGCCCTTTAGAGTCTAAGGCGCGCTGATCGGCCCGATTCTTTGGTTCTCCCACCAGCACACCCCAGCCCACGCGCACCCCCTTCCTGGGCCGCGGGATAGTATCAGCAAACATGAAGCACAGGGGCATCCCCCACAACTGGAGAAAGCCTGGGGCGGCCTGCTGGAGGGTGCTGCTGACCTGCCCGGGCCAGTGGGCTGCTCCCTGCAGCCCTGGGCAGACCAGCAAAGCATGAGCCGATGGCTCTGGAGGCAGACAAGGCTGCCCAGCCACCAGCAACGCATGCTTGAAGCTTCTCACACCGGGCAAGCCTGGCTGCTATGGGCGGGCACTCGGTTCCGGGGTGGTGCCCTAGCTCCAGCCCCCAGATTATGTAATTTTTTCAAACTTGACCTTCAGTGAAGAAATGAAATCATAAATGCAGAGAGTGAGACAGTCTTGCTAGCCCGAATCCCTCATCCTGCCCTTGGACATTGGACGGACGTCTTTGGGGATCATCCTTTGCTGTGTTTTATTTCGGGGCACACCTGGCAATGCTTGGGGCTTACTCCTGGCTCTGTGCTCAGAGCTCAGTCCAAGTGGGCTCCAGAGACCATATGGGGTTCCAGGGATTGAACCCAGGTTGGCCGGGTGCAAGGCAAGTGCCTTACCCAGTGTACTATCTCTCGGGCTCCGGCCTTACTTCCCTCCAGCCCCCAGCTTTTGCTTTTTTAAAACATCCTTTTTTCAAAAAAGTGGCTATGCATGTTCATGAACTCCCTTGCAGGCCTTGGGGGGGGAGGGGCGGGGGCTTTACCAGGTGTTCAGGTCTGCAGTGAAGGCGCTGTGTAAGCTGGCTTTGATGACGAATGCCCTGGGGTGGCGGGTGGGTCCTCCTGCTGTTGTCACTGCAGTGCTGACTGAGGATTCCCAGCTCGGCCGAGCCCAGCAGGAGTGTGTGATTGCTCAGCGGAGCCTGGGGGTTGTGGGAGGGTGGCTGGGGACACGCCTGGCCTCTGCTCGTTGGAGGCAGGACCAGCTGGCCATCCATGTGTGGGGTTTTCTAAATCTCGGGTTTCTCCTAGATTTTCAGTACTTTTTCCACCTAAAATGTGTCTGAATAGTACTTATTTGTCATTGCAGATGTGAAGACGACCTTGCCCATAATCACCTCAGAGAAGTAAGTCACGCACCTCTGCCCAGTTTCCAGCTCATCTATTTTAAGATGGTCTTTCTGGTTTTGTTGGCTTGTATTTATTTTGTGTGTGTGTGTGTGTATGTTTGGAGGGGGGTTGTGCCCTTAGAAATTATATCTGAGGGGCCAGAGAGATAGTACAACGGGTAAGGTACATGCCTTGCGGGCAGCTGACCGGGGTTCAATTCCCGGCATCTTATATGATCCCCTGAGCACCACCACAAGTGATCCCTGAGCTCAGAGCCAGGAATAAGTCTCCAAAAAACAATCCCAAAAAAATGACTAAATTTTATGTGGATCAAATTGTATTTTTGGGATGGTGTTAAAGGCTGGGGAGATATTTCTGGTAAGAGACCACAGGTCTGGCATGTGCAGGAACCTGACTTCTCTACTGGCACTGCGTGTGAAACCCCCTCCCCCCGACACACACACACACACACACACACTCCAAGTCCCCGTGTTAGACACAGAAGTGCCCGCTGTGCTCGTGTGAGACACCGAAGTGCCCGCTGTCCTTGTGTGTTAGATACTGAAGTGCCCGCTGTTCCCATGTGTTAAGTACCGAAGTGCCCACTGTGCCCGCGTGTGATCCCGCCCTGCTTCTGTCCGGCAGGTACCAGCGCGGGCTGGAGTGGGCTGCGGAGCGCCTGCGGAGGGAGGGGCAGGACGAGAGCGCGGTGCAGAGCGCCCTGCAGGACCTTGCCCGGCCCTGCAAGCTGCCCTGGGCAGAAGGCTGCTCGGAGCTGGAGCTGCCCGCGGAGCCCAGTGCTGGGAAGACTGGGCCAGAGGCCCCTGCCGCCAAGAATGGCCACTCCAGTGCGGCAGCCGACGGGGAGGGGCCCAGGCCGGACCCCCAGACTCCCAATGGCCTGGCGGAGTGCGGGGACATGGCCCTGCCCCCAGCTGCTGCTCCGCAGGGCCCCAGCGATGAGTTTGTGCTCGTGGAGGAGCCCCGGGGTGACGCGAGCGAGACCCAGGAGGCCCCGGGCGGGGACGTAAGTAGACGAAGGCCGGGTCCCCTCACCGCCTCCCGCGGCCCCTGCCCCTGGCCGTGCTTGGCGTCCACTGGGAGCTCGGTCCCTCCAGAGGCCCCAGGCCGTGTGGCCCCCCAGCCCTGACACTGCAGGGGCCCTGGGGGCCCAGTGGTCAGCCAGACCCTCAGAGCCGGTGCTGACGCCACCTCCTGAGCACGCCCCCGAGCCGCAGTGTCAGTAGCGGGGAAGAGAGCTTTTGGGGGCGTCAGTGAAGAACTCATCCCGTTTCTCTGTGGTCTGGAGAGGGAGCCCGGGGACGCCACACACCCACACGTGTGCTCGGGTGCACCCTCGCCTCTCACCAGTCTCGGCTTCTCTCCTCAGCAGGGGCAACCCCGGGGGCTCGTGTGCAGGCGGAACCCCTACAGGATGCCGGAGTATCTGCAGCTCAGCCTGGAAGAGGTGCGTCCGCAGCACAGGCCAGGACCCCCCTGGGCTCCCCACGCTGCCTTCCTACCACTCGGCAGGTCCTGGGACCTGCAGCTCGCCGCCGCTGCTGCTGGCTCTACTGCGGCCGTCTGAGATGGTCCTTCAGGGGAGTCTGGCTCTGCTCTCGCACCGAGATCCCACACGGGGGCCGAGGCCACTCGGCAGGGCACATGCCTAACACGAATGGCCAGGGCTGCGGCTCGGGCCAGCCCCCACAATCAAGGTTTTAGCCAGATAATCCCAGGAGGACACGGCCGGCGTGGGCGCCTCCACTGTTCGTCCCGAGAGCAGATGCCAGGCTGGCTCTGCCGGGTGGGCTGCGAGCCAGGACTGAACCCAAGGCTGCTAGGAAGCTGCCGGGCAATCAGGGCTCTGGGTGTCACCAGGGGTGACGGCTGCTGCTCTTACGGGGCAAATCCAAGAATCACAGCATCTCTGCCACCCCCAGACACCACCAGGGAAAAGCCCCAAGGACCCCAGTATGTGTCTGGCGTGCACAAAGCCCCAGGCCCCCCCTGGGCATCACTGAAGTGGCGCCGGTGCCCCCTGAGCCCTGAACCCTGCGCCCTGGCCCGGGGACACTGCTTGAGAGGCTCCACCCCCCACCCATGCCCCAGAAATACAAAAATGGGAACCAGAACATTGAAGGGCAGTTTTTAATGGCATGTTCTGCTTCCTCCGCTTTTAGGCCTTCTTCCTGGTGTACGCGCTGGGATGCCTGAGCATCTATCGGGAGGAGGTAAGAGGAACAGTCCGCGCAAAGCGTTCCCGGTTGAGCCCAAGGCCAAGAGCGTAAGCTGGGTAGTGGCGAGCAGCGGGAGGGGCCCGTGACCCCGAGCCGCCCTCCCAGGGACTCTGGGCTCATTGCTGCCTCCTGAGCACTGAGGGGAGGCAGCAGGGCAGCGGGAGGCTTTGCTCTGGTCTCTGCGTGTTCTTTCTGAAATCAGGAACGTTATCGAAGTAACCCAATGGATGTTCAGATTTAAAAGAGACGTGGGAGGGACTGGAGCGATAGCACAGCGGGTAGGGTGTTTGCCTTGCACGCAGCCAACATGGCAGATACAGGTTCGATTCCCAGCATCCCATATGGTTCCCCGAGCACCACCAGGAGTGATTCCTGAGTGCATGAGCCAGGAGTAACCCCTGAGCTTCGCCGGGTGTGACCCAATAAGAAAAAAAAAAAAAAGACGTGGGAGATGGTATGGCCGGCACACAGCCTGCGTGTGGGAGGCCCGGTTGGTTCCTGGCACCACTTGGGCCCCCGAGAATCCCAGGGGTGGCCTTAAAACCAAGCACTATAGCACTGTCCTCCCATTGTTCATCGATTTGCTCGAGCGGGTACCGGTAACGTCTCCATTGTGAGACTTGTTACTGTGTTTGGCATATCGAATACGCCATGGGGAGCTTGCCAGGCTCTGCTCTGCGGGCGGGATAATCTCGTTAGCTTGCCGGGCTCTCCAAGAGGGACGGAGGAATCGAACCCAGGTCCGCCATGTGAAAGGCAAATGCCCTACCCGCTATGCTATCGCTCCGGCCCTAAAAATCAAGAGAAGAAATAAAATAGAGAAGTGAGCTCAAAGGTACACCTAGCAGAGGCCTCTGTGTCCACCTGTTCTCAGGAGTAAATTGATCCAAGTCTGCCAATGTCGCCTTCCCGTGAGGAGTCAGTGGTTGGGATTGTGTCTGGGGGGGAGTCGTTGCCTCGCCTTCCCAGTGCCCCCTGCCACCCCTCCGGGGCCTTAGTTGAAGTGCCGGCACATTCCAGCTGGCTTAGCCCTGTCGCAGGACTGTGCCTGGGAAGATGTGGGGTTTGTGTTTGCCCTCAACAGCTCTGCAGGGTCACCCGGAGAAACCCCCTCTCCTGCCGGAGGCTGCTCTGAGCCAGGCTCGCCCGGAGCTCAGGCCATTTGCTGCTTCCCTGGGCCCCGCGAGCAGAGCGCGCCTGCCAGAGCACTGTAGCGTGCCCCAGGAGCCCCCTGCACTGGACGGTCCCTGCCTCTCCAGCCCAGCTCGGAGCCCAGACTCCCTGTTTGCAGACACCCTGTCGGAAGACGCCCCGTCTGCGCCGTGGTGGTCAGCCCTGCACGGGGCAGAGGTGAGGCAGCCTCTGCCAAGCTCATCCTGCCTGTCCTTTCTTCCCACGGCAGGAGCCCTTAACCATCCTGCAGCTCTGGGAGGTCTTCACGGCCGCGCAGCCCTCGTTCAGGACCACGTACATGGCATACCATTACTTCCGGAGCAAAGGCTGGGTGCCCAAAGTGGGCCTCAAGTACGGCACAGATTTGCGTAAGTCGGGGGTCCACTCCAACTCTGATCCCAGGGGCCAGGCAGGTTATGTGACCACTGGCCTCTCTCCCCTAAGGCCAACCTGCCTCAGGCCACGACAATAATATTGGCACTGGAGTGGGGGGAGGGGCGGGTGTGGTGAGCACAGGACCTGGGCCGTGCCTGGGATGCGAGGACCCCAGGGTCAGTCCCAAGCACCCCAGGGCCCAGCTCTGATGTCCCCGTATCTGCTGAGGCATCCCCCCGGGCCCCCAAGTACGTGGCTGTTCGGATGTGGCAGAGGAGGGGTGGGGAGAGTGAGGGCATCCAGGGGGATGGGCAGACACCACGGCTTTCCCCCACTCGCTCTGTGACCTGAGCAGGTTCTTCCAGGACTCGTGCCATCCCCCTCAGGTAGATGACTAGTGGCCTGGTGAACACAGCGGCCACTGTGTGTGAGGCTGGGGGGCAGAGGGACGCGTCACTGGCCCACGTGGATGGCTTGACCCTCTCATGAATGGCCATCTGCGCAGAGCCGCACCCTCTGCTTCCCAGCAGGGGATGAACTGCACTTGCACCGAAGAGGTCGTTTGTCACACAGAGTTCCCGGAGCCAGTCCCTTAGCCCTGGACTTGAGGGCTGGTCACGGACCCCAGACCCTGGGGGTGGAGGCGCAAAGGAGCCCCTCGTTCAACAGACAGCCACGGTGGCCGGCTCTGTCCAGGCCGGCTGCACGGCTTCCCCCCAGGATGGCAGGAGGACAGGTGTAGCGCTGACCCTCAGACCGAAGAACCGTGAGGAAAACAAACCTAGGGCCAGGCGGGCGAGTCTCCCTCTCCCAGGAGAGAAAGCGTTTCCCTGTGAGTGTAGAGAGTGACGCCCTCGCCCACCTGACAGGGTCAGCCCCCCTCTGTGAATTTGCTCCTCTTGGGCCAGAGAGAAAGTACAGCAGGTACTGAGCATGGCCTGCCTCAGCCGGATCCCTGGCATGGCAGTCGATTCTCTGAGCTCTGCCCAGAGTTAGCCCTGAGCACAGAGCCAGGAATCAGCCCTGAGCATAGAGCCAGGAGTGATCCCTGAGCACAGAGCTGGGAGTCAGCCCTGAGCACAGAGCCAGGAGTCAGCCCTGAGCACAGAGCCGGGAGTCAGCCCTGAGCACAGAGATGGGAGTCAGCCCTGAGCACAGCCAGGAGTGAGCCCTGAGCACAGAGCCGGGAGTGAGCCCCGAACACAGAGGCGGGAGTGAGCCCCGAGCACAGAGCCGGGAGTGATTCCTGAGCAGAGCCAGGAGTGACCTAAGTCACCCTCCCACAAATACTCAGGCCCCGTTTGAGCACGTTGCCTAGAGCCTGCCTTGCATCCTTCTTCATGTTGAGTCATGTACATCAATTCTTCAAGACTGCGTTTTGGTCACACCCGATCATCCTGCCTCAGCCCTGCGAGCTTAACCGGGGTTTTTGAGCCGCGGGGATGTACGGCTCCTGGGAACGCCCAGCGCTGCTGTGTCTGTCTTTAGCTGTGACTTTCTCTGTTGAACACCTGCTGGTAGGAGACGGGAAGGGGCCGAACCTGCCTGCGCTGTGGCCAGGAGCGAGGTGAGGGGCCACTGGGGCATCTGCCCACAGCTGCCAGGAGTCGTCCTGCCCTGCATCAAAACCACATGGCCACTGTAGAGTGACAGCATCCAGTAGCGCCTGAACGCCCAGCTCACGTTGGCCTTGGCCAGAGTGCATGGTCAGGCTGCCTTTCCTCAGGTGGCCCGTCTGGCTCTCGTCTCCTAGGGCCGCTGTAAACCCCCCATACTGGGCGACACGGCCAGTGACAACCCCCTCCTCATGGCCCGTGGGCTGGGTCTGGACAAGGACCCTTCCTGCCTCCCCTGCCACAGCGTCCTCTTGGGTTTCTGTGCCCAGCGTTTCTCTGACACCTGAGCTTGGTCTGTGCATGGGAGGGGCAGATCTGTCCTGCCTCGCTCTGAGCGTGCTGTCCCCTCGGCAGCCGCTGTGGTCACAGGGACTCTTGGAGCACCTGCTCCATACCCGAGCGGCCACACAGAGGGTGTCGGAGCACCGGGAACGATCCCTTGGAGACCTAACCCTGGGCCCGTCCGGTCCGTATCTGGAGCTTCTCAGGGTCCCCGCCGCAGCTGCCCGGCTACCGTCCAGAACTGGGCTGGTCTCAGGATGCCTTTGAGGGCCACGTCAAGTTCCCGGTTTTCCCTTGGGTTTTTGTTTTATGATTTTGGAAGCTGAGGCTGAGAGAAGTTGCTGACTTACCTAGTGATCCTGCAGCTGGAAGCAGCCAGGACTGGGCAAGGAACAAGACTCGGGTTCAGTTTTAAGTCTGCCTGCGGCCTCGCCACGGACCTGCCAGTGTCCTGGCGGCCGCTTGTGTTGCATGTGACAGGTGCCTGCATCCCTTCCTGGTGAATCTGCAGTGCCGGGTGCTCTCTTTGGTACTTACTGGGGAGGAAAAGTAAGCTGCCCTCCAGGACCCCCCGAGAGAACTGACAGACCAGGCTTGGGGCTGCACTCTGGCCGCCCACCCGACTCCTTTCCCGGCAGCTCAGGGCTGGGCAGAGCATGCCTTGTGCAGTGTGCCTCTCCCACTCACCTGGATTCCTGCACAGTAGGCCCAAGTCTTGTTCATTCTCCTGCAGCGCCTAATCGGGTGCCCGAATAGCTCAGGTAGCTCAGACACCGGGTAGCTCAGAAATCGGGTAGCTCAGACACCGAATCCCACCTGTGGCTTCAGGGGAGACGGCGCATCTTCTCCTGGAGCATCTGGGTGGTCCCAGGAGCCAGCGCTTGATGAGGATTCACGTGCAGGCTGGGCCTGCCTGGCTCTCAGCCACAGAAAGGCTTCCCTGGTGGCATGGTGTTCCAGGAAGGAAGCTGTCTGGCCTTTAAGGACAGGCCACAGGGCATGTTGCAGATGGTACCTGGCTTTATGTCCCTTTGGGGAGAGAACAGGTCTGTATTAAAGTAAGGGTTCGAAACCAACCGACTCTCCGTTTTCCCTTCCTCTGCAGTGTTGTACCGGAAAGGCCCTCCCTTCTACCATGCAAGGTTTGCAGTGTCTGTCTGTCTGTCTGTCCAGGGGATGGAAGCTGGGTCTCACCCACACCAGGCCATGCTCCACCACTGAGCCCCTTCCCTGGCCCCTTGGAGGAGTTTTCATTGATTTCTGGTGGTGGGGGAAGCAAGATAAATTCTGGCCTCTGCTACTAGTTCTCGGGGCCACTGAGTCACATTCCCCTGGGCGGTGGGGAGAGAGGTGCCATGTCTCTTCCTCCGCACACCAGCATCTTGACTCCGCACATGAAATAATAAACGGGTTGATAGCATGTGTTGTGTTAAGCACCGAGCCTGTCTTCATGTGTGTATGTAATGTCCGCACCGAGGCCCCTGCTTTCGCTGGGAGGTTCCTCTCTGTGGGTTAGAACACTCCGAAGGGCTTTGCCGAGGCGAGCGTTTCCCTGCTGTGTTCCCGCGGAGGGGAGGGCAGGAAGGGGGACGTTTCCGTCTGTCCGTTCCTGGGATCGGGGATACTCAGGCCTGAGGGCCTGTCTGTCTCTCCAGCTACTCGGTCATCGTCGAGCTCGTGGACGACGAGCGCTTCCAGGGACCTCTCCGCAGACCCCTCAGCTGGAAGTCGCTGGCAGCCCTGAGCAGAGTGTCCGTGAACGTGTCCAAGGTAAGATCCGGCCACTCCAGCGCGGGGGGTGGCCCCGACATGCCGAGGGGGCAGGAGAGCATCATAGTAGGAAGCACAGTGTCCCACCAGCCACGCCGGCATGGGAAGCTGCCTCCTGCCTGCCCCCACAGCTGCCGGCCTCGCTCCCTGGGCCAGTAACACGGTGGGCACTGCCTTCCTGCCGGGGCCTGGGGACACCTGCTCCCTGATCACACCTGCTCCCCGTCACACCTACTCCCCCTCACACCTGCACTAAGGACTCCAACCTTGGGCCCATCTCTTCAGAGTCGCGCAGCTCGTGGAGAGAGGGCCCCCGTTGCTCTCCGGACACTTCCGGTGGTTCCCCCTCCCTGTCCTCTGGCTAGGGGCAGGGCCTCATGGGGCCGAGGGTGGCAGACACACGCGCCATCTGCCTTCCTGGCTGCCACCAAAATCGAAGGGACATTTCCTCCCTCGCCGGGACTAGCGGCTGTGTTCTCTGCTGCTCGGCCGGTACGGGCTGCGCACAGACGGGCTGCAGGCCCGGCCGCCCAGGCAGCAGAGGCCGTTCGGCTCCAGCTCCGCGTGTGGCAGCGTGGGACTGTGGTCTGCTGCGCTTACGCCCAGCCGTGGGGCTTGTCTCCGGTGTTGATGGCTGTATTTGCATGTGCTTGGCAAGTATTTGCCTGCTGCCATTAGCGTGGTGACTGGATCTGCATCCTGCTCCGCCAGCCGGGGTGTGGTGACAGTGCCCTGCATCCACGCCGTGGGGAAACTTTGGGCGCCCACTTCCACTCCAGGGCTTTGGGAGCCCTGTGGGGGCGTGAGCCTGGGTCACCCTGCTCTCGTGGGCAGAAGCTGTCCCGTGGCTCGCGAGCGTCACCCTGCTCTCGTGGGCAGACGCCGTTCCGTGGCTCGTGGGCAGTCACCCTGCTCCCATGGCAGACGCTGTCCGTGCTTCCGCCTCTCGCAGGAGCTGATGCTGTGCTACCTGATCAAACCTGCCTCCATGACAGACACAGACATGGAGTCCCCGGAGTGCATGAAGCGTATCAGAGTCCAGGTGGGTGAGCACCACTCGCAGCACTCAGCAGAGAGTGCTCCTGGCCGCCCAGGGACTGGGGGTCGACTGAGTCCCCTGTCCTCGTGGGGGACTGTTCTCCATGGGCACTGCCAGGTTCTTCATCTGCGCTGCTGACCCCAGTATAGGCTGCCTTCCCCTCCCTGGCCCCCGGGGCGTGTCCTGTCCCGCACAGAGCCCTTCCTCCTCCCAGGACGTTTGTTCAGCCCCGCCCCATGAGTCTGCCCCCCAGGAGGCCAGTGAAGGTCTCCATCCCCCCTCACCAAGGCCAGCCACTCCCTCCACAGGGCACTGTCCAGGTCAGGTGTGACGGGGTGTCTGGGTGGCAGGTGTGTCCCACCTGCTGGTTCCCGTGAGGGCGGAGAGACCTGCCTTGTCCCTGCAGTGTCTGTCCCCAGGAGGGGGACAGGGCGGCTTTGTGAAGCTCAGGGCCTTTTGTCTTGCCAATGCAGGAAGTGATCCTGAGCCGCTGGGTGTCTTCCCGGGAGAGGAGTGACCAGGATGAACTCTAGCCACCCACCTGTCCTGGGCGAGGACGATGGACCTGGCCAGTCTGAAGCACCTGCACCCCCACTCACGAGGATCTGTGTCTGGGGGCAGCTGGCGCCTGGACTTCACGTTCTGCCCTGGAACCGTTCCCTTCCCCTGGCTGCAGAGGGGGCTCCTGGACCCAGAGGCCCCTCCAGCCGGAAGTGAGCACAGCACTTGACTCTCACCGGGGCAGCGGCCTGCAGGCCCTGATGGCCAGAGCACCCCCGGTCCACTCCTGAGTGAGCAGAAGAGGTGTTGGGGGCCCCAGGCCCCCTGCCTTGGAACGGAAAGACAGCGGGTCTCAGCTTATCCCCAGCATCAAGAGGTCACTCACTGGGCAGCGTCTCCCTCAACTGCCAAGCCTCAGGCCTGAGCCTCAGCACATGGATACAGTGACTTAAATCAATACCCATGTCGGGCGTAAGCCCCAGAACTGGGACACAGTGACTTAAATCATTACCCATCTCAGGCGTGAGCCCTAGTGCTGCAGACACATGGGTTAGATCAGTATGCATCAGACAAGGCTCTCTGCAGCACAGAAAGTATTAAAGAATTACAGTTTTGGTGGTGTTGTATGTGTGGGTGTATGTGAGTGACTGTGTGTGAATGTGTGTGGGTGTAAGTGTGGGGCGGTGTGAGTGTGTGTGTGTGTGTGTGTGTGTGCGTATATGTGTGTGTGTAGCTGGGGGTGCAGCACAGGACCTCATGCATCCACCACTGGGCGCCCTCCCTGTTCTTGACCGTCTCGTTCTTCAGACCTCAGTCGCTCACTTGGGCACATTTGCATGGACAGAGTGCAGGTAGGAAGGTCCCCTCTTGTCCAGTGAACTTGTGAAACTCTGCAGGGCCAGCGAGGGAATGTATGAGCCCATACACACACACACACACACCCATACCCTCACATACACAAACCCACATTTTTGTGGTGCAGATCTTCTGCCCCTGCATCACAAAAATAAAAAAGACATGGAGAAGCACACGTGGAGGTCGATGGACACCGCTGACGTGTAGCCCAACCTCACAGTCAATCATGGCTGCGAAGCTGAGGGAAGGGCAGCAGGTGGGGAAGAAGGAGCCAGTGAAGGCCAAGGGGACAGATCCCCGAGCGCCCATCGCCGCGGCTGGTGGACAGTCGGCCCGGCTCTCAGGACTCTGGTGGAGGCACAGACGTGGGGAGCAGGGCTGACCGTGGCAGCCCCGAGGCCTGGCCTGAGCCCCTGACCACCCAGCATTTCACTCGTGGTCACCTGCTGGCACACGCTCAGCTGACCCGACATCCAGATGGACCTTTCACCACCTCACCCATCTCCTGTCCTGCTCAGACCAGTGATGACTGACTGCAGGAGCCTGCGAGAAAGCTCTTTGCTCCTGGCGAGACGCTAACAGCTGAGCCTGTTCCTTATTGTCAGCGCTGAGCCCGCACCAGCAATACTGCCTCTGCCTCGGGGGACGGGGGCGGTGGCACTGAGCTCACACAGCCCGGCATCACCGCCTCTGCCAAGGGGGTGATGGTGCGATTCAGGCAGGAGCAAATGCAGCTTGAAACTAGTGGCCCACAGGACTGGGCGTGGGGACCCTCACACTCGCCCGAGGGCTTGAGCACGGCCTCTGCTACAGGTTGCCCAGAAACCGAAAGCAAGGCAGCTGCTTGGCATGGAGTTGGGGGTCGGGACGAGGAGGCAGGAAAGCCCACAGGTGAGGTGCCACCGGACGCGGATGGGGGGGGTTGAATTGCTGCATTAACCACGCAGGAGCGCCTGTTTCAGGGACCCTAAGTAGCCTAAAGCCCACGCCCTAATGACCTTGCACCCACCTTTTTTTAAATTGAATCAACATGAGACACAGAATTACAAAAGTTTTCATGATTGTGTTTCACTCATAGAATGTTCCATCACCATCCCTCCACCAGTGCACATTTACCGCCACCACTCACTGTCCCCGGTTTCCCTCCCGCCATCCCACCACTCCCTTCCCTCCCCTGCCTCTATGGGAGGCACCTCTCTCCCTCTCCCTCTCTCTCCTCTCTCTCTCTCTCTCCCCCCCCCCTTTGGGCGTTGTGGTTTGCGATACAGGCACTGAAAGGTTATATTATCATGTACATCCCTTTATATCTCTATATATCCCTTTACCTCCTTTCAGCACTCAGTTCTCATCCAGAGGGATCATTTCCCACTATCGTCATAGTGGTCTCTTCTCTGTCCTAACTGCCCTCGCCACCCCACACTGTGGCAGGCTTCCAACCAGGGACCAGTCCTCCTCACTTCTACAGTCCTTTATATATATATATATATATATATATATATATATATATATATATCACTGTCACTGTCCTCCCATTGTTCATCGATTTGCTCGAGGGGGCCCAGTAACATTGTGAGACTTGTTACTGTGTTTGGCATATTGAATACGTCACAGGTATCTTGCCAGACTTTGCTGTGTGGGCAAGATACTCTCAGTAGCTTGCCGGACTCTCCAAGAGGGGCAGAGGAATCGAACTCGGGTTGACCATGTTGGCTGTGTGCAAGGCAAACACCCTATCCACTGTGCTATCACTCCACAAATATGTTATCTACATATATATATATATATATATATATATATATACCTGGCAGGCTACCAAAAGTATCCTGCCCACACGGTAGAGTTTGGCAAACTCCCCGTGGTGTATTCAATATGCCAAAAACCAGTAACAATGATGAGTCTCATTCTCCTGACCCTGAAAGAACCTCGAATGTGGCACTTTCTAAAATCTCAGGGCTAGGACGAAGGAGACGTTACTGGTGCCTGCTAGAGTTAATCGATGAACAACAGGATGACAGTGATACAGTGATATATATATATATATATATATATATATACAGTGATACAGTGATATATATATATATATAGGGCTGGAGTGATAGCACAGTGGTAGGGCGTTCGCGGCCAACATGGCCGACCCGAGTTCGATTCCTCCGCCCCTCTTGGAGAGCCCAGCAAGCTACCGAGAGTATCTCGCCCGCACGGCAGAGCCTGGCAAGCTACCTGTGACGTATTCGATATGCCAGACACAGTAACAACAAAGTCTCCAATGGAGACGTTACTGGGCCCGGTCGAGCAAATCGATGAACAACGGGAAGACTGTGATATATATATATGTATATATATATACACACACCCCACAAATGAATGTGATCAGTCCATTCTGTCCCTCTCCCTCCGACTTATTCACTCAGCATGATACTGTGTCCATGCCAGTGCATCTATGATCAGATTTCATCACTTCATTTTCCCTGGTGTCGGCATAGTATTCCATGGGTTCCATGCGTCCTCAGACCTCGGGCTGCATCCAGATGTTGGCTACTGTGAACGGGACCTTGCACGCTTTAAACCAAACCAGTAAGAAGGTCTTCATCACCGACTTGTTATCTCATGCCCCCTTCACCAAGCAAACCCCTCCTTTCTGGACTCCTGCCGGGGCATGAAACATTTTCTCTGCTCTGGGTTTGCCACCTGCCAGTGCCTGGGTGGACAGGGTTTCAGTTCCCAGCCCGTGAGAGTGCCCTGGCGGGGTTGCAGTCAGTCAAGTTTTATGCACCCCCTGGACTCTTGCACTGTGGCCCTGGCTTCGGCCTCCTGCCCACACCCTAGGAGGCCGAGTTCCTGGGCCCCTGGGCTCAGCCCACAGTGGGGTCCCAGCGGGAAGGCGCCCCCTGCCGTCAAGTGTCCTGCATCTCAGGGCATCTCGGACCCTACAGGAGGGCGCCCCCTGCGGCTGTGCTCCCTGCAGCTCAGCTCTCAGCCGGCTGCATTGCCGTGGCGTGGAATCCGTGGGCCTCCACGGCGCGGTGCAGGGTGATGTACTTGGATGCTGTCCTGGTCCGCGGGAGCACAAACCTCTCCGTGAACTCGTGCTTGTCCAGCGGCCCCGAGCCGTCGGCGCGCAGGACTGCGTTGATGAAGGCTAGCGCAAAGGTGTAGCAGTTGTGCAGGTTTTCCTCGTACCTGGCAGAGCATGGGGCACAGAGAGGGGCAGGCTGAGCGTGGGGTGCAGGTGGGAGGCGCCCCTCTCTGCCCCGGACTGGGCCCCCACCCCCAAGGACAAGCCATCGCCGGGCGCATCTGGGCCTGCTGCTGGCCACAGCTGTCCCTGGCCAGGCAAAGTGTCTGGGGTCCTAGGAGTCCCGGACATGGCCCTCGAGACTGAAGGACCCTCCCCCAGCCCCCACCGGAAGAGACAAAGGCTATTTCCTTCATCCACGACGAGGCATCTTCTGCGGTGATGAGAAGCAAGATGGGAAATTGGATGCAGAACAAATTGGTCAGTGGGGCCCTGTCAGTCTCCCTTTTGAACATCCGGCTCAGGATGTGAGGGCCGGTCCCTGGGCAGGGCACAGGCTAGGCCTGCAGGAGGACCAGGGACCAGGGCTGGCCCCAGCACAGCTAGAGTAGCCTTGCAGTGCTGCCAGGTGTGGCCCCCCCAGCCCAACAAGTGAAATATTTTGGCTTGAAGGCGGGCAGCGACGGGTGGCTTCAGTTCCATCTTTTATTCATGGCCGGTGTGCAGAATTCCCCAGGCAAATAAATAGAACCACTAGAGTGTCCATTTCCGGCCTTTTTCATACTTAGAATGGTTTGGCTGTTGCGTCTGAAAAGCCGACGTCATCCCACCCAGCTTCTGAGCCAGATGCATGCTGCCCGCCTTCGCTCAACACCCCCACCCGCCACCCTCCTCCTCACCAGCCCCCCTCCTCCTCCCCCCATGAAACCACACAGCCCTACCCCCTGGGCCCTGCCGCCCTCATACCTGTGAGGCAGCCAGGTGGCCGCAGCGCAGAAGTCCTCCAGGTACTTGTCCCACTGGTTCAGCAGCGCCCATGCGTGGGGTGGCAGCAGCGGGACACTCACGCTCTGCTCCCAGCCCTCACCGTCCCGCTGCACGCCGAGCGCTGTGTAGCTGTACACGGTCCCTGCAGCCAGGATAACTCCTGTCATGGGGTCGCCAGGGCTGGGTAGCGGCCGGCTCATGGCGTCAGAAACGCCATTTCCAGGGCTGAGGATATTGCTAAGGCGCTGACCTTACACATCACCTGCCTGGGCTTGATCCCCACACCCCATGCAGTCCCCAAGCACCACCAGGAGTGATCCCTGAGCACTGCAGGGCAAGTACATGACCCCACGAGGGTCACAGTCCCCTTCATGGGCTCACCATGTGCTGACCCTGGGAGGGTTTGGTGCCTGTCACATGCTCACCAGGTGTGACCCTGTCAGGGTCGGGTCCCCGTCATGTGCTCACCGTGTGTCTGACCCTGTGAGGGTCACAATGCCTGTCACGTGCTCATTATGTGTGACCTGTGAGGGTCGGGTGCCCGTCACGTGCTCACCGTGTGTGCTGCTGATGCCCACGTGGAGGTCGGAGTGCCCGTCATAGTCCCTGGAAGAGAGCACACCCCTTTCTCGTCAGTGGCCGTGGCACCCGGGGCTCCCGCCCCTCCTGCCTTGGCTGGTACCCAGACGCATGCATGAGACCCAGGCATCCCTGCCCGCCTCTGGGTCTGTCCAGCCCTCCGGACACTGAGTGAGCTGGGAGTCAGCCCGGCTGAAGCTTCTGGCTAAGCACTGGGGCCCCAGTTCTCCGACGCGTCTCTGCTCTCATGGAGGCCTGGAGGCATCTTCAGAGCCGCCGTCAACCCGTTTCCCAGCATCGTTCTGTGCCGAGCCTGCGTTCCTCCTACAACTCCAAGTCATTCCACTACAGTGGATAGTCTCGGCTGTCCACTGTGGACAAGCTGTGTCCAAACGGGACAGGCGCCTCTCTGGACGGCTCTTCCCTGAGGCAGCGCGTATCCCAGCCTGAGCAAGCAGCTGGGAAGAAGAAAATGCCTGAGCGCCGGCCGCAGGCAGTGTGGCTCAGTGATCACGCTACTTGACAAGAGGAAACTCTAAGAGTGATGGGCTTGGGCTTGCAAGTGGCCAGGACACAGAGGGCTGCCCGCTTCCTGCTCCCACGCACCCCTCCCAGCCCCCCAGTGTCCTCTCTGCGGCCCTGTGAGCATCCCTAGGGGCTCCGGTTTGAGAGTCAGCTGAAACGGCGGCCGTGGGGTTGCTGATGAGGGCTCCGGCCCCCACCTCGCTGCCCTCGCCTTCCCTCCCTCCTTCCCCACCCTGCGGGGGGCTGGTACCCCCAGGAAGGGATGGCCCCGGGTGTGCTTCCTTCCAGGGGAGACGCTGCTCTCGTCCTAAAAGTGGTGGGTGCCACCCCCGCACTCTACCCTGTCAGAGAAGATTCTCGGTTCTCCCTGAACAAGTCTGCCTTGGCCTGACCAGTGCGGGAGCTAGGGGACAGCGAAGGTCACAGAGCACGTGATCCGGTGGGCAAGGCCACCCTCTCTCAGGTCTCCTTGGTACACACCCAGAATAGCCGCCCAGAATAGGCAGAGCGACGGGACAGACCATGGGGGCAACAACAGGGCTGAAGCAGAGCAGGGGTGGAGGGGAGCCTCAGGGATCCCTTGGGGTCATTCCGCAGCTTTCAGGAAGCAGGAGATGCGTTTTTGGGGCGAGAGGCAGGCGGAAGTTTGGAAACTGGATGAAAGGGGGGACAAGTCACGGGAACTTGGCCTCAGCAGGCAGGTGGACTGGGTCTGCTCTGGGGTTCTGAGCTCCTGCCTGAGGCACATCGGGGATGCTGGAGCCCATGGCCTGACCCAACACCCCAACACCAAGGAGACTGGGCACCGCGTGACCTCAGAGATTCCACCCCAGGTCACTTCATTTGCCAGGGGCAGGCGGCTGTGTGTCTGGGGACATCCCGAGTGCCCCACAGGAAGTGCCTCAGGAGGGTTGGGGGGACAAACCCACACCAGGGAAAGGGACCCCCGAGTGTGAGCCCCGTTCCCAAGGAAGCATTGGGCAGCTGGGCCCCGAGCCGACCCGGCCAGGCCTCTCACATGCACATGGTGGACAGAGGGCAGGAAGGAGCCGGGTCTGGCCTTGGTTCTGGCCCACTCGGCTCTGCCGGGGAACTGGGGAGGAAACGCAGACTCGAAAGAGTCTCCACTGGGTCAGAACTAGGATGAGACACATGGGGCAGGACCATTGAGGGCACAAAGCCTACCCCGTCCACCCTGTCCAAGGAACAGTTCAGACCCAGCCCAGGGGTCAGCCCGGCTGGTTTCCTCCTCTGAAGGATGGGCAGGAGGGATGGAGGAAGGATGGAGGAAGGTGGGGAGCGGAGAGGTGGACATTGGGCCAGTTGTCGGCCCAGAGCAGACTCCTGAGAGCAGAGGAGTCTCCGGTCTGACCCACACTCGCTTCCTAGAGCTTCTTCTGGGCTCGCCCAAAGTCCTGCCTGGCCAGGCCGTGTTCCACCACCGTCTACCCCACAAGGAGGCTCACACGGCCCGGGCCTTTCCTTGGGTTTTGGAAGCTGAATCTGTCTCGTGGCGTCAGTAACTGATTCAAATGGACCAAGGAGGGGACTGGAGCAATGGCACAGCAGGTAGAGTGTTTGCCTTGCACACGGCTGAGCCAGGTTCGATTCCCAGCATCCCATATGGTCCCCTGAGCACCGCCGGGGTAATTCCTGAGTGCAGAACCAGGAGGAACCCCTGTGTGACCCAAAAAGCCAAAAAAAAAAAAAAAAAGAAAAGAGAAGAAAAGAAATGGACCGTGGACCAGTTACAGCCCCCCTTCCCCCGTGGCTTGAGCCGCCTCGCATCTCGGACCCCCACAGTGACCCCCCCAGGCCCAGTTAGCTGAGACTTGCCAGTGAGGCCCCCAGACCCAGAAAGAAACGGACCAGCCCCAGCCTTGTATCTAATGCGTTTCCTGCCACAAGGAACCTGCCACCGGCTGCAGTTCAGGCTGTCACAGAAACTACAAAGCAATTTGCAGTTTCTCTGACAGAATTCTTTTGTTGTTGTTTTGTTTCTTGGGCCAAACCCAGCTGTGCCAGGACTTATTTCCGGCTCTGTGCTCAGGAGTCACTCCTGGCGGGACTATATGGGATACCGGGGAACAAACCCAGGTCAGCCATGTGCAAGGCAAGTGCCCTGCATTCTGTACTATCTCTCCAGCCCCTCTGGCAGAATTCTGGCTTTGATAAGAAAATAAGAAAAGTTCTTATTTTGATAAGAGGTGCTGCCGTGTCATTTTTTTCCCCACTTCATTTATTTTTTAGTTTTTATTTTGGTTTGGGGGAGACCAAACTGGCAATGCTCAGGGGTCACTCCTGGCTCTGCACTCAGGAATCACTCCTGGTGGGCTCAGGGGACCTGTAGGATGCCGGGGATCAAACCCAGGTCGCCCACGTGCAAATTAAGCACTCTCTCCATTGTACTATATCTCCAGCTAAAATCACCTTTTACACAAAACCTGGACTGGAGTGATAGCACAGCGGTAGGGCGTATGCCTTGCACGCAGCCAGCCTGGCCGAACCAGGTTCGATTCCTCTGCCCCTCTCGGAGAGCCCAGCAAGCTACCGAGAGTATCTCGCCTGCATGGCAAAGCCTGGCAAGCTACCCGTGACGCATTCGATATGCCAAATACAGTAACAACAAGTCTCACAATGGGGACGTTACTGGGCCCGCTCAAACAAATCGATGAACAACGGGAGGACAGTGCTACACAAAACCTTTGAGTAAAATCTTTCTGGGCCCGGCTGGAGCAATAGTACAGCAGATAAGGCACTTGCTTTGCTTACCAGGGTTCATCTCCAGCACCCCATACATTTCCCAAACCCAACAAGGACTGATCCCTGAGCACAGAGCCAGGAGCATGCATTTCTGATTACCAGCTATGCATTTCTCTTTTTTAAAATGAGTGGGTCCAGGCTTCATCCCTTGCTCCAGGAAGTGTGCACACCGTTTAATCAAACAAGCAGGCCAGCCAGCCGAAGCTAGATGCTAATGCTAAAACCCAGTCAGATGATGCGATCCTCCAGCTGGTAAGGCACTTGCCTTGCGTGTGACCAACCAGGGTCCGATCCCCAGCATCCCACAGGATCCCCTGAGCCCCACCAGAAGTTACCTTTGAGCACAGAGCCTGGAGTAAGCCCCAAGCACTTCTGGGTGTGCCCGAAAGACAAACGTCTCACAGAGACCCCACATTAGGGTGCAGGCCTCAGGGCAGCCCCATATGGCAGGGTTAGACACGGTACCTGAGGAAGGTCCCTTGCGTCGGCTTGAGGAGGAAGGAGCACTTCTCCCGGTGCCCGTCCACGAAGGGGCTGTCGATGCTCAGGGCCGCCTCCTCCAGCCGCCTGGCGCCCACACCCTGCCCGCAAAAGGGGCACTGTGGGGGCACCTCGAAGCAATAGATGTCCTGCCGGCAGTGGTGGAATCTCACCAGGCGCCGCCTTCCTGCCTCAGTGGCCTGCATGGCTCTGCCTGCAGGGCGGCCAGGGCAGCCCACTTCCTTTTCCTGCTTAGGGAGCAGCTGGCTGAAAGTACACCAGCCGCAATCTGATCGGCTCTGATGTCATGCTGACGGCCGGGCCAGGTCGGGTAACCTTTAACCAGGCGTTTTAAAGAGCGACTCTCCGACATCTCCCCAAAGCGCAGGCTCTGGCCTCGCTACTTCTCATAGCGTTTGTGGGCAGCCAGTGCCACTGGGCTTGGAAAGCCTGGCTCACCCCCGTGGACCCCAACATTCTCTGGCGCCGGCTGCAATGGGTTCGCCCTTCCCGGGATTCGTCCATCCATTAGTCTGTGAACTGCCCAGAGACAGAGCCAATATTTATTTGTTTAGAGGTTTCTACAATAGGATCTATCTTTTTTTTTGGGGGGGGGGGGTTTGTTTTGGGTTGGTTGGTTTGGGGGGTCACACCGGCTGTGCTCAGGGCTTCCTCCTACCTCTGCACTCAGGAGTCACTTCTGGAGGTGCTCGGGGGACCATGCAGGATGCAAACCAGGTCTGATGGTGTAAGGCAAACACCCTTTCTCTGCGTGTCTCACTGGCCCCTCCTGGTTCTGAGTCAGTATTTTATATTCCTACCTTGACCTACCTACCTTGAGGCTTACTGTTGATTTGACGTATGGTCAGCACTGTCCTGTCCTGTCCTCCCGTTGTTCATCGATTTGCTTGAGCGAGCCCAGTAACGTCTCCATTGTGAGACTTGTTACTGTGTTTGGCTTTGCCGTGTGGGCGAGATACTCTTGGTAGCTTGCTGGGCTCTCCGAGAGGGGCGGAGGAATCGAACCCGGCTCAGCAGTAATCTTTTTTTTTTTCTTTTTGGATCACACCCAGTGCTGCTCAGGGATTATTCCTGACTCTGCATTCAGGAATTACTCCTGGTGGTGCTTGAGGGAACATATGGGATGCTGGGAATCGAACCCGGGTCGGCCACGTGCAAGATAAATGCCCTACCTTGCTGTGCTATCACTCCGGCCCCAGTAATCTTATACACAGGGGCAGCACGGTGAGAAATAAAGATGGAGTGGTCCAGGGCAGTGCATGTTTGTGCATGTGTCGGGGGAGAGGGTGCTGCAGAGAGGGAGAGGCCAGGAGGGGTTTCCTGGGGTCACGGGTTGTTCCCATCCGCTCATGGCCGTGGGCTCTGACAGTGGCCTGCAAAGCTGCACTAACTCTGCATTTTAGTGCTTGTGCCAAGGAGGCTTCCATTTCAAAATCGTCTTTTCAGCTGGACTGAAAGATACAAAAGCAAGGTGGGAACCAGATGTGTCACATTTCCCGACCCAAATTCTACTTTGAAAACAAATAATAAGTGACCAGGATGTTGCCACACATTTTTTTTTAACTTAATGTTGTGCTACTTTGTAGGTCTGGGTTTTTATTTTGTTTTGTCTTGAGGTGTGTGTGTTGGGCCGGGGGTCACATCCAGCCTCACCCGGGGCTGATTCCTGGCTCTGTGCTGAGGGCAGACTCCTTGGTTCTGTGCTCAGAGATGACTCCTGGCAGTGCTTGGGGACCATATGGCTGGTCCCCAGTGGATCAAACTCAGGTTGGGCCCATGCAAGGCGAGTGCCCTCCCTGCTGTCCCATCTCCCCGACCGCCTGTCCCATCTCCCCCATGGGACATGGCTTTATCTCCTCTTGGAAACTGGCATCTGACTGTGGCAGAGCTTTGGTAACTGCCAGGAAGCCGCGGGCAGCCCAGAGCTGCTGAGAGTCGAAGCATCAGGGCAGCGGCCGGCAGGCCCCGGAGACCTTGAGCAGGGGTCTCGAGAATGTGCCGCTCCGTGACCGATGCTGACGGGCAGGACAGAGCGGGTGCAGTGTTGCCACCTGCGGCCTTAGGAATCCTTTCCAGCAACTTCTTTCCTTCGCAGGGAGGCAAGCGAGTCTGAACTAGACACCCAGCTCGGGTGACAGACACTGGAGATTCATTACTGATGCAAACCCACGGCTCGGGTCAGACGGTCCAGGTGATCGGGTGACTGTGAATATCTTCACTTTCTTGATGCCGGTCCCGGGAAGGTTGTCTTTTCTGTGGGGGTGAAGGGCCATGCCTAGCGATGCTCAGAGGTTGCTCCTGGTTCTGCATTCAGGACTCACTCTTGGTGGCTCTCAGGGGACCATATGGGGTGCAAGGATCAGCCCGGGTTGTTGTGTAACATTGGGTTGTCCTTGCTCCTCCAGCAGAGATCTTAGGTTTATTGAGTTACTCTCACAACAATGCTGCTGACGCACACCCAATTCCATCAGGCACTATTAATTCTATATTGCTTTTCTCTTTCCTTTATGTTCTTTGCATGGTTTAGCAATGTCCTTTTTTGTATAGGCACAGGAAGACAGTTGATGCTATGTTTTTGCAACTTGGGAGTTAATTAACTCTGAATAATATTTACTAATCGTTGGGGAAAGACGAATAAGAAGAGGCTGCTAAAATCTCAGGGCTGGGAGGAATAGAGACGTTACTGGCGCCCGCTCGAGTAATTCGACGATCAATGGGATGACAGTGATGACAGTGGCAGTGATGAATATTTACTCCCAGGCACCCATCATATTTACCTGACTTAAGCCTCAGTTGCCCTGACATCCTAATGTCCCCAAAAGGAGGGTCCCAGCGAGGGACAAGGATGGACCCAGGGCAAGCTGTAAGCTCACCCTGGCATCAAAAGGGGACAAGATAATAATAATGTTAAGAGCACGGTCATGGCACAAACTCGGTCATGAACCAAAAAGGAGTAACTGAATAAGGACCCTGCTGGGGTTGGGAAAGATTGACCTGGCCTGAGGACTGTGGTCTGGGATATATAGCGAGATGTCCCCAGGAAGAGCAAACCTTTAAGCTTAGTATATTTCTTACTGTGTTCATACAAAATGACTGGGCTGGAGTGATAGCTCAGTGGTAGGGCGTTCGCCTTACATGCGGCCAACATGGCCGACCCGAGTTCGATTCCTCCGCCCCTCTCGGAGAGCCCGGCAAGCTACCGAGAGTATTCGATATGCCAGACACAGTAACAACAAAGTCTCCAATGGAGACGTTACTGGGCCCGCTCGAGCAAATCGACGATCAACGGGAGGGCCTTTACCTTTACCTTTACCTAAATGAATTACTAGGTGAGGAAAGAAGAAAGCAATACACCCTGGATGGAATCCCACCCTGGAGCGGATCTCCAAGTAATCGGGAGTGCTGGACACTCAGATGAGATTTTGTCATTGAGTTAATCTCCTAGAACTTCCCCTGAAGGACGGCTTTACAAACTCTGTTTATTATTATTGTAATGTTCAGCCCCACCTGTGTGTGCCCACCCTTCACGATTTCTATATAATCTGTGAGAGGGGAAAAGGAAAGGAGAAATAACTACGCTGTAAGGGAGAGGCAGGGAGAACAAAGCCCTAAGGATGAGGGTGAGAATAAAATAAATGGTCACTGACTACCAACCAGCTCCAGCTTGGGGCCCTGTTCCTCCGTTTCTCCATCCCTCCATCCTCCATCCTTCATCCGTCCGTCACTGTGGGCCGGCGAGGGGAGCAGTTCTCAGCCACCAACCGCACATGCCCCTTGTGCCCACGCTTTTTGAACTCACACCAGGTTGTTCGTGTACCAGACAAATGCCCCAGCTGCTGTGCTATTGCTCGGGACCCAAGAGGGCTTGTCTCATTAAAAAAAGGAACTGAAGACCTTTTGTGAAGGCTTTCTTTTTAAAATTTATTTTGTGTGGGGCTGGAGAGATCGCACAGCAGGGGGGTGTTTGCCTTGCATGCAGCTGACCTGGGTTTGATTCCCAGCATCCCATATGGTCCCCCGAGCACCGCCAGGAGTAATTCCTGAGTTCATGGGTAGGAGTAACCCCTGAGCATCGCCGGGTGTGACCCCCCCAAAAAAAATCCCAAAAAAGCAATAAAAAATTTATTTCGTGGTGGAGGATCCCCAAGGTAGTGTTTGGGCACTACTCCCAGCTCATTGCTCAGGGGTTGCTCCCTGAAGTGCTTCTTCTTCTTCTTCTTCTTTTTTTTTTTTTTTTTTTGCTTTCTGGGTCATACCCGGTGATGCTCAGGTGTTACTCCTGGCTCTGCACTCAGAAGTACTCTTAGCAGAGCTCAGAGGACTATGTGGGATATTGGGGATGGAACCCGGGTCAGCTGCATTCAAGGCAAATGCCTCTCCTCACTGTACTATTGCTCCAGCCCCTCTGCAGTGCTTTTCATCTCCTCCTCCTCCTCCCTGGTAACTGTCTGGTTTATTCACTAGAAGAATCTTGACTGGGGGCCTATGGGAAGACAATTCTATTCCCTGAGTTCCTGCGCGCTGAAAAAGAGACACGAACATAAAGCAGAGGAACGTAACTATAGGGCTTGAGGATAGTACAGTGGGTACGGCGTTTGCCTTGCGTGCGGTTGACCTGGGCTCGATGACCGGCATCCCCCTATGGTCCCCGAGCATTGCCAAGTGCTCTGGCTTGAATAGGAACTAGTGCGATGACCTCATGTTCTAAGATCAGGGGCCCAGCGTGATTGCGCAGCGGGTAGCGTGCTTGCCGTGCACATGGCTGACCCAGACTCAGTCCTGCAGACTTTCTTGGTGACGCTTTGACGTACCTCACCCCTCCTGAGGACAGACCAGCAGTGCTCAGGGACCCCTAATAGGGTGATGTAGATTGAACCCAGGTAGGGTGCATGCAAGGCAAGTACCCTGCTCGCTGTACTATCTTTTCAGCCTCCAGAAATTTCCGAAATATGACGAGGAATGCCTTCAAAAAGCCCAAGGATGAACATTTTGGGGCGTGTGTGTGTGTGGGGGGGGGGAGGTGTCACATTGGACAGTGCTTAGGGCTATTCCTGGCCCTGTGGTCAATAGTGACCCTCGGGCCTCACTCCTGGCCGTGCTCAGGGGAACACATGCGGGCGGAGCACCTTCCCTCCTGCACCATCTCTCCAGCCTCCCACCTTTTTAATGAAAGATGAATGGTTAAATACTTTCCCTGAACTTGGTAACAGGACAAAAGTAAATAAATAAACAAACAAGTTCGCCGGGCCACTATTCTTTTGAAGGCTCCACGCACGGTCGTAGGCAAAAACCCAGAAACGGACGCCACGAAGGGCTTGCTCCTGGCTCAGTGCTCGCTGTGCTGGCCCGATCCTGCTGGTTTTAAGCCTAGATGCAGCGCAGGGCAGCGTGCGGGGGACGGCGGGAGGACGCTCGAGCCTGCAGGGGGGCGAGGCCGGGCCGGGCCGGGGCGCGGGGTGAGCGCGGGGCAGGGGGAACCCCGCGTGCGGGGATCAGGGGCTCCGGGGGACTCCGGGGGTGGTCTCCGTGCAGCCGGGGGCCTGCGCGTGCGCGCGGGAGGGCCTGCGGGAAAGCCCACTGCAGAGCGTGGCCGGACAGACAGCAGGCGCCGGCGGCCCGGGAACGCAGGCGGCGGGGCGAGGGCTCCCGAGGCCGGCCCGTGTGCGCCGGGCGGAACCGATTGTGACGGCGCCGGTTTCCGGCCGGCGCTACAAAGGCGCTGCACGGGGGCGGGGCGCGCGCTGATGACGCGCCTCGGGGGCGGGGCCGAGCCCGGGCGGCGGCGGCGGCGGCGGCGGCGGCCAGAGCGGGCGGCAGCGGCGGCGGCGCGTCCACGGCCCCCAGCGCGACCATCATGAGCACCAAGCAGGTCACTTGCAGGTCCGTGCGCGGGGCCGGGGGGCGGCCGCCGGGATCGGATCGGAGGCCGGAGCGGACTCCGGGGGGCAGCGCCGTGCAGGGCGCCGGGGCCCCGCGCTCGGGGCGGCCTTGCATCCCCCGGGGGGCTGGAGCCGCGGGGAGGCTCGGAGGGGGCGTCCCGCGGGCGGGGGGCGCGGGGCGGGGCGGGACGGCGGCCCCGGGCCCTCTCGCCGCTGCCCCTGGGCGTCATCCTCGCCCCGGCGCCGCTCCCCGCGCGGAGAAACGACGTCAGGAGCACCTGGACGCGGCGAGAAAATTCTGGACCGAGTTTGCGTCAGCCCCCCGGGAGGCCGGTGGTTGGTTTCCCGGGAGCGGGAATCGGGAATTGACTTGCAAAGAGCCGATTTCATTCCAATAATTGGTTGCAGTGGGAAACGCCGCGTGGGGCACGGTTTCACGCGGGAGAGGGGGCTCGGTGGGCGCGGGGCAGGGGGAGGCGCCGCCCAGGGGTGACCCCGAGCATCCTAAGGGATCCCCCCTCCTCCCCAGCCCCGCTGGAAGCCCCCCGCCCTGCAGGGTGTGGCCTAAACCCCTGCCCCAGTTAGGGAGTCTCCGTGGTGTGAAGGAGAGTCATTCGCACTTGATTGAGAAGCGGCTAGATTAAAGTCTCTAAGACCCGCGAGGGAGTCGGCCACTGTTTTTGAAAGTTTGCAAGATCCAGGTGGTTTATAGTAAGTGGTGGTTCAGATTTTGGCACTTTCTTGTCCAGAGAAGATGCTTGAGGTTATTTGTGCTGGAGAGTCTATGTTTGCTCTTGCTCTCCTGAGGGACCTGCAGTTTCTGGTGGCAGTAGATTGTTTCCTGCCCAGCTATGGGTCCTGAGGTCTGTCCAGTAGCAGGGCACGTTCCAGTGGGCATCGGAGTTGGCGGCCGGTGCCTGGTGTGGGATTCTCGGTATAACGACCGGAGCCTGGTCCAGGACCTGTCCAGGACCTCAGGACTAGAGCAGAGACTTCAGCCCCGTCTCCCGGGCTCCAACCTGTCCCCAGCAGGAGCTGAACAGCCGTGCCAGCCACTAGAGTGACCAAGTACCTGCTGGGGTGGTTTTGGTTTAGGGGGGGTCACACCTGGCGGGGCTCAGGGCTTACTCCGGGCTCTGCACTCAGGGCGCACTCCTGGGGGGCTTTGGGGACTATCTGGGGTGCGAGGGCTTGAACCCAGGCTGGCCGGTGCAAGGCAGGCGCCCTCCCCGTGGTCCTGTCTCTCCGGCCTCAGTTGCTGGGCTTATTGGGGCTTCTTTGAGGTGCTCTTGGAGCCACGTGGTCTATGATCCCAGTCATCCCACTCTGCTCCCGCCCAGGAGGACTGAACCTCTGCACGAGACCACTGCCCCTCCCCCTGTCCCAGCCATTTTATTCAGAGGCGCAAGTCAGTCTGTTCTTTTGTAGACTGTAAGGCCCCCAGCTAAGTTTGGGGAATGGGAAATTAAGTCCTCTAGTTGGTGGGGCGCCCATGCAGGGCTGGGGCATGGTTCAGGGCCGCTGCCAGCAGTATTGGGCTGGCCTGGCTGGGCGGGTGAAGAGAGGGCAAATGCTGAGGCTGGTAGGGCCGTCTGGTGCTCACCTGCCCGTGCTCGGGGCTTCTGCCAGCCAGATCTGTACTCCGACCTGTTTCTCCCCAGCCCGCTTGACTGCCAGTATTTCCAGAGCTCGTAATAGCTTCTGTTTGTTTTGTTGTGGGGCCACGCCTGACCATGCTCAGGGCTTACTCCTGGCTCGGCTTAGGACTCATACCTGGCAGTGCTCGGGTATCAAACCCAGTTTGGCTGTGCACAAGGCAAGCGCCCTACCCGCTGCAACTGACTCTCCCACCTCCTTTTCAGGGTTTTCAGTATGTTCACCTGAAAGGAAAATGCATACACAGACAGAAAGCAAATAAACGGGAGGGTGTGGGAACTGCCCGGCAGGAAAAGACGCATTAAGGTGACCGCGCTTAGCAGGAGCACTGCTGTCTCTGTTCACCACTGTGTGTCATCTCCAGACTTTGGTACCCAGGGCGAGCCCAGGGCGTGATCTGGTTGGCCTGGAGGCCAGCTGTTGGGAGACCCGCCGCTTCGGGGAGCAGAGTCCCCTGGTCTGTCCTCCTGACTGGATGGACAGCACGTGCAGACTTAGCGGGCTGCAGGACATGGCATTGGTTGGGTCTGTTCATCCATGTGGACACGTGTCCCCCAGGGAGGGGGCTGGAGGTACAGCACTTCCCAGCCCTGTGTGGATGGGAGGCAGGAAGGGCTCCCCACGCTGGACATCCCTGGCCTGGCCTGGCCCCCGTCAGATGCCTGTGGCCTCTTCCCTGCAGGGGCAAGATCAGCAAATGTCCCATTGGCAGAGTCTGTCATTGGCAGTTCCTTTGTCCTGCTTGAGGCTGGTCAGAAGCCCGGGATTCCAGTTTCCGAGAGGGTCAGCCTGGAGCTTGGTGTGTGGGGTCACCAGTACGTGGTCAGAAGAACTTGGGTTGAACAGTTCTGGATTTGGGTCCCGGCTCACCGTGCCAGTGAGACTCACCCTGCCATACCCCTCCCCCACGCCCTGCCTCCCCGCTCTTTCCTTCAACTCAATAAATAACAGACACGGAGAGTGTGTGCCACGGTCAGGCGCAGCCGTGACGTGTCCCCTCTGCTCTGTCTGAGCCCGACCCTCTGGTGACCGTCATCAGGTTACAGGCAGGGAGCTGGGGCTCGGGATGTAAATCCCCAGGGACGGGGTGGCCAGGGACTGAGCTCACGTTGCAAGCCAAGCCGCCGCGTGACTCGGGCATCTTCACGTGACCGCTCTGTCCACGCGCTGTTCTCCCTGCCGCGCCTGCTCCTTCCCCTGATGGGGACGCGCCCCATGTCTGTCATGCCTGAGCATGTGGGAAAAACTGGAAAGTGAGCTAGGCCCGAGCACTCACCCCCTGGGCAGCGGTCAGCACATGCACCCAGCTGGAGCCGTGCCAGGAAGAAGCCCAGAAGCCCGTGGGAGGCCGGGCCGAGATGGATCTGGGCTGATCTTGAACCTGCCACCCTGCGGGGCTGGGGGGAGAATTGTCCTGTTTTGAACCTGCCCCTGTCAGCCCCCACATGAGCAAAGGCTGGCGGGGCCGAGGGGGGGGGGTGGGGGGGACTCAGTGGAAACCCCCAGCAGGGCCTCACGGGAGGCGGCAGAGATGAAGAGGGCGTCTCTGGGAGGCGGGTGACAGGCAGGACAGAACTGGTGCAGGTGCTTCTGTGACTGTCACAGGGTATGGGGGTGGGGCCCAGAGATGGAGGATTCAGAGGCAGGATGAGACACTTCACCCTCCCCGGGGCACCGAGGGGGGGGAGCAATGTCCTGAAGGTTCTCTGGGAGCCCCCCCCCCCCCCATGCATGCATCTCACGCATGGTGGCCGATGGCCTTGAGGCTCTCTGCAAGCTTCACATCTCTGTGTCTCTCACGCACGAAGATCAAATCTCTGGCACGAAAACCACAAGCAACAGAAGTGCTTAGAAACCAGGGAATCAAAAAACACAGTGTGAGAACAATACCCAAGGACAGTAAAGACCAGGGCCAGGAGGACTGAGCCCACCGCACGACGTGGGGGAGGGCGGTTAGGACAGTGACTGCCAGGCCATACCAGCGCTGGGCTGGGAGGGAGGAGGTCCCCAGCCAGACACGGAACCTGTCAGCAACAGTGTTGCAAACCACAGGGACCGGAGTAAAGTATCTGCCCTGCAGGACTGGACCGCTCTCAGTCAGATGGCGGGCAGGGTGTTGGAACTTTGTATGAAGGAAACCCGTCCCTGAATAACTTTGTAACTGTCTCATGGTGATTCAAGGGAAGGAAAAGTAGATACCCCAAACCTACCTGGAAGTGGAGCTGGGGACCCCTGGGGATGTTTCCAAAGGCAAAGAGGAAGAGGAGAACAGCTGGGAAGATGGGGTGTGGGGGGTCACTGCCCAGGTAATACCTCGTTTCTGCTGGGGGCACTGGAAGTCAGTCCAGTCTGGAAGGAGATGTTGGTCTGTGAACTGCACTATTCTCTGGATCTCATTTTCCCGGGTAGCGGCTCTTGCCACTTTGCCCGGCTCTTCCTGCATTTATGAATCCGCGTATCCTCGTACTTCTTGTTCTCTCAGGCCTGGCTCTTAACTAGCTAGCACTGTCCTCCCATTGTTCATCGATTTGATCGAGTGGGCACCAGTAACGTCTCCATTGTGAGACTTGTTGTTACTGTTTTTGACATATCGAATACGCCACGGGCAGCTTGCCAGGCTCTGCCGTGCGGTTTATTTTGCTAGTTACAATAAAATAGCAAATGGAATTATTTTTTTTAAAAAATAGTTCAGTTAAAGAAAATGTGTGAAAATTGTTGCATCTCACGAAGACCAAAGTCTGGGTTTGTTTGGCGGGTGGTGGCTGAGCTTGGTCACTGATGTCCCGCTGCGCCGCTGAGCCAGCCAGGCCTGTGGGACTCAGAGGCGCGCCCAGGGTGATAAAACCGGGTGATTCAGCCTGAAGTTTTCAGCACGAAGACCAGCGTGGCGCCTCTTGGCATCTCTTCCTTCTGTGAGCCGTGACTGGGCCGTGGCCATCCCTGAGGCTGTGGGTGTGAGATGCCTACCCAGGGCCGACCGGATCCCGTGAGTCTCAGTGGCTTGGTGTCTCTCATGATGCAGCTTAAAGTAGAAAATGCGAGTTTTCTTTTCCCTTCTCTCTTTTTCTTTTTTTTAATTTAAAATTTTTTAAATTTTTTTTTGTATTTTTTATTGCATCACCGTGAGCTGCATTACAAAACTTTCATGTTTTTCAGTCATACAATGATCAAACTCCCATCCCTCCACCTGTCCTTTCCCCATCCCAACCCCTCCTCCCTTCCTCATAGTAGACAAATTCCCTCTTTCTCTCTACTTATGGGCATTATGGTTTGCAGTACTGATACTGAGAGGTCATCATGGTTGGTCCTTTATCTACTTTCAGCACGTGTCTCCCATCCCGAGCGATCCCTCCAACCATCATTGACTTAGTGATCCCTTCTCTATCCCAGCTGCCTTCTCCCCACCTCAAGAGGCAGGTTCTAACTATGGAGTATAATCTTCCTGGCCTCTCTACTGTCTTTGGGTGTTAGTCTCATGTTATGGTATTTTATATTCCACAAATGAGTGCAGTCATTCTATATCTGTCTCTCTTTTTCTGACTCATTTCATTTAGCATGATACTCTCCATGGTCATCCACTTATAAGCAGATTTCATGACTTCATCTTTCCTAACAGCTGCATAGTATTCCATTGTGTAGATGTACCAGTGTTTCTTTAACCAGTCGTCTGTTCTCGGGCACTGGCTATTGTGAACAGTGCTGCATTGAACATACAGGTGCAGATGTCATTTCTACTGTACTTTTTTGCACCCCCGGATATATTCCCAGAAGTTCTGGATTAAATGGGAGCTCAATTTCTAGTTTTTTGAGAAACGTCCACATTGTCTTCCAAATTTGCAGTGACCACACACATGCAAAGCAAGTGCTGTCCCGCCATAACCCTCGCCAGTCCTTTTGGGCACTTTTTGGTGGAGATTGCTGGGGTGTGGGGGAGGGTATTTTTTTCCAGAAAGACCGTCATTGAATTTATTGCAGTGCAGCTTGGATCACTGTGTTAGAATCCAGGAACCAAGTCAATCTCCGGGGCTTGGTACAACCCAGATACACAGGCCGTTCATTGTGAATGTTTGCGTGCCAGGTACCAGAACTTGGTGCTTTTACAGCAAAAAGCATCTTTTAGGCATTTTTGTTTTCTGGCGGGGGCACACCGAGCTCTGCTCAGGGCTTCCTCCTGGTGCTGGCTTCAGGGATCACTCCTGGCGGGGCTCCAGGGAGCCCTCTGCTGGCTGGGGATTGAACTTGGGTCACTCGTCATTGTCTCTTGGGCCCCAGTGCCTTTGAACGTGCCTGTGTTGCTCATCCCTGCAGGTATTTCATGCACGGCGTGTGTCGGGAAGGAAACCAGTGCCTCTTCTCCCATGACTTGGCGAGCAGCAAGCCCTCCACCATCTGCAAATACTACCAGAAAGGCTGCTGCGCCTACGGGACTCGCTGCAGGCAAGTGCCCGATGGTGGCCCTGGAACCCCGCCCCGCGCCCCACAGTGAGCTCACGCTTGTCAGTCACCTTCTTGGCATTCCAAGAGGGACGGCGCTTCCCTTGCCCGCGGTCGACCCGGGTTCAGTCCCCAGCACCACACATGGTCCCCCAAGCCCTGCCAGGAGTGACCCCTGTGTGCAGAGCCAGGAGTCAGCCCTGAGCACTGCTGAATGTGCATCTGCATTCCCCCCATCCCCCCATTTTCTTCTTTTTTTTTTCAAATAAAGAAAAGTGGCCTCCCAGTAAACATAGTAAGATTTCCTGTGTGGCCTTTTTTTCCTGTGATGCCGCTTGAGCTCTCGCAATTTCCGTGGGTCGGCTGTCGCCCCGTCAGTGGCGAGGCCCCTGGGGTTCTGCCGGGGGTGTTTCTGTTCCTCTCCCCTCTGAACCCGTTGCCAGTCTGATCACTAGAGACTGGAACGTTCCAGACTGGCTGCAAAGCCCGTCTCAGAACTTCCTGGCACTGCTCGGGCTGGCGGCATCCGATGGGCGTTGGGAGCTGTCACCTGTAGGTACCACCCCGGCAAGGCGCAGCCCGCGGTCCGACTCGGAGCCTGTCTCCGGACCCGGTACCCTGGGCTTTCCCTTCTCACTGGACCCAGCCCTTCCTGTCGGTTCAGACCCAGGACGAGAATGTCCACTTGTCCAGTTTCACAAATGGAGCAGAGCAGGCGGGACCGTGGGGCCTGTGGGTCCAGGCCCGGGTGCATCCGTCTGTGTTCTGTTCAGGTACGACCACACGAGGCCCTCTGCCGCAGCGGGTGGTGCCATGGGCCCCGGGCCCCACGCCGTGCCCTCCCCCGGCTTCCACAGCCCCCACCCTCCCGCCAGCCATGCCGCGGCCATCGTGAAGATGAGTCTCCACGAGCCTGGGAAGCGGGAGAAGAGAACCGTGGTGCTGAGAGACCGAAGTGAGTGAGCACGGCCCCGCGAGGAGCGCTCTGGGCAGATCTCAGTTGTTGGAGTGGAGGGCAGGGGCCCCCCTGGGGTGGTGCTCGGGGATCACGCCTGGCGGGGCTTGGGGGACCGTCGGCAGTGCTGGGGGGTGAACGTGGGTCAGCCGGTGCAAGGCAAGTGCCCAGCCTGCTCCGACAGATGGTTTCACTGTGGTCCTTAAGTAGTGGAGGGGTGTCTGGCTCTTGCAGGTAGTTGGCGTGAGAGATCCCAGGCTGCCAAGTAAGGGGTGAACCACACCCGTGCCCCCACCAGAGGCTCAGGGCCGTGGGTGGCAGCCGGGAGCTCCTGGTGCGAGGGGCCCGAATACCAGCTCTAGGACTCGAAAACTTGCTCCGGTGTCTTTATTTGTAAATTTTATTTTATGAATATTTTTGTTTCTTTTTAAGCCATGCTCAGCGCTGCTCAGGGGTTAGTTGCTCCTGGCTCTGCACTCAGGAATTACTCCCGGTGGTACTCAGGGAGCATAGAGGGTGTTGGGGATCAACCCTGGGTTGGTTGTGTGCAGGGCAAATCCCTGACCCTCTGTACTGTCACTCCAGGGTTTTACTGTAGTCGATTTAAATGAACTGGCCCTTTTCCACTGTGGAAAAAAAAACCCTCTTTCCTGCCCTCATCCTCCAGTTCCTTCTGAGATGGATGCATATATGTAATTTTGGTGTCACTGGGCCATAATTCCGTTTCCCATAAATGTGTCACGGGATCTGAGCGAGCTCCATGGCAGGGTGCGGGCTCTGTCAGCATTCAGGGGCCTGGGTTCAGTCTCCATCAGCACAGGGTTCCCTGGGCACCACCTGAGCCCCACGTAGGGGACAGCCCCAATATCAGCTGGTCTGGCCCAGTTACCAGAGGAGGAAGATGTATGCCGTAGTCTGTCTTCTCCTGTTGCACTGAGTTGCTGCTGATGCTTTTTTTTAAATTTTTTTTTTAAAAGTCCCTGGGCATTGCTTTGCTCCTCTCCCTTGGCCTGCCTTTGCCATCTGCTCCCGAGCGGGGGGTCCCATGGTTCGGGACATGTGGGGCGGCACCCGTCTGGGACACACCATGTTCACCATCTCTGTACCGTGTGTTTGTGTTGAGATCTCTCTGGCCTGGCCGAGGAGAAGCCATGTCCCAGTGTGGTGGGCAGTGCGGGTGGCTGCAGCGACGCCCAGGGCAGCCCGGAGATGAAGCCGCACTCCTACTTGGACGCCATCCGCAGCGGCCTGGATGAGCCCGAGGCCGGCAGCTCCGAGGGCACCGAGCAGCTGCTGTGCCCCTACGCGGCTGCCGGCGAGTGCCGGTTCGGGGACGCGTGTGCCTACCTGCACGGGGACATGTGTGAGATCTGCAGGCTGCAGGTCCTGCACCCTTTCGACCCAGAGCAGAGGAAAGCCCACGAGAAGGTACCGGCCGCCGGGTGGGAATGTGTTCCGGGGTGCGTGAGGTGGGGCGCGTGAGTCGTGCTGCGGGCCGGGAGGGCCACGACCGCGGGCATCTGTGCCCGTGACACCCTCCTTCGTCTGGCTCCTGGGGTGTCTCGGGCCTGTTTCCTGGCCTGCGGCTGTCAGTTCTGGCTCTGTAGGATAAAGACGAGACAGGAGAAAGTTGTACTAAGTTAGAGGACAATTCAGGGTGGGTGGGCGGCTGGGCGGGTGGCTACACACTCACATTCACACACATGCACACATACACACATGCACATTCATGCGCACACCCATGCACACCCATGGGAGCAGTCCACCAGGTTGACGTGTCTCCCTGACAGGCCTCCCAGCCTGTGTCTAGGGATGTGAGGTCTCCTGTTGTGGCCTCTGGGCAGTCCGTGTGGAAGGGCCCCAGTGTCCACACTAGCCTCTGCACTCAAGGCTAGGGACTGCCGGGCCTGTGCAGGCTGCATTGACTCCCGCACCTGCCGGCTCTGCCCAGAGAGACCGGGGGCTGCTTCTTCCTTGACACGGGCGCTGCCCCCTCTGCCTCTTAAGTGAAGGTCAGTGGTTCGCTTGTTAGCGAGTGCAGAGTGGAGCAGGCCGTGTCCAGCGGCACCAGCAAGCCAGGCCTGGGCCTTGGGAACTCCTCCCCCACCCCACAGTGGTCCTGTGTGACCTTGGGGGTCCCCCAGTACTGCCTCTCGGCTGAAACGGGCAGGGCCAGGAGTCAAGCCAGCAGAGAGGGTGTCAGACCCAAGGCCGGGAGGCTCCTGGTTGCCTGGGCGTCCTGCTGGGCACTGCTGACCGGCAGCCTCACCCCCCACCCCATCCCTGCCCGCAGAGCTGCATGTCCACGTTCGAGCACGAGATGGAGAAGGCCTTCGCCCTGCAGGCCAGCCAGGACAAGGTGTGCAGCATCTGCATGGAGGTGATCCTGGAGAAGGCGTCGGCGTCCGAGCGCAGGTTTGGCATCCTGTCCAGCTGCAACCACACCTACTGCCTGTCGTGCATCCGCCAGTGGCGGTGCGCCAAGCAGTTCGAGAACCCCATCATCAAGTGAGTACAGCGGCATGCACAGCCCTGCCCCTGGCCCCAGTGAGCTTCCACTTCCTCCCTGTGGGAGCACCCTTCTGTCCCAGCCCTGATGAGCACTCACGGCACCCCAGCACGGGGCCTGACTCTCCAAGGCCCGGGCGCTTCCCCGAGAGTTCGGTTCCCACAGGCTTGGAACTCTTGGGGGGCATCTCGGAACACGGGGACCCGCGGTCCGGGGAGGAAACGGAGCGAGGCGAGGTTAAGTCCCGGCTGGAGGCGGCCTGCGGCCGTGTGGTGACTGGGCGGAGGTGGCGTCATGTCTGTGGCAGGCAGTCGGGTCACGGGGCCGGGCGCAGGCCGGAGGCAGGATGCAGGAGGCCGGGTACAAGGCCTGGCACAGCTTGGGCCTGACATTGCCAGGGATAATGCAAACCCAAGGCAAACAGTATGAAACTGTGCCGTTGTGTGGCTCAGTGCTGAAGCTCCTGCCTCTCGGTGCAAGGCCCCAGGTGTGACCCTCGCCACACACACTGCACACGCACACCCACACAGGCGCACATGCACATGCACTCACACACACACACACACACACACACACACACACACACACACACACACGTGCTCACTCTGCCCAGTTCATTTGCAGGCCTGTGCAGTCACCCTCACAAGTACTTTTAAACTTTTCCTTTGGTCCAGAAAAGCAGCTTTGATCTGCGGCCACTGCCCATTCCCACTCAGTGTTGGCAGCTGGTGTCCCCTTCCCCCGGGGGATTTGCTCCTCTGGGTATCTCACACCTGTGGACTCCGCTGTCCTCTCAGCTCCTGTGTCAGACGTGTGTCGTGTCCGTATGCACTTGGCTTCTTGGCGTGGCTCGGGGACTTGGTCACTCAGCGGTTGCTGGCCGTGTGGGTGTCGGCACCCTTGGCCGTGCAGATGCAGCTCTGACACCCGGGCACGAGTTCCTGTCGGGTTGGGTTTGGGGGTTTTTCTGGGGGAGCAGGGGGGGTTCATCCTGAGCCGCATCTCTAGAGCTTCGACTGCCCCGCCCAACCTGACTGGTCGGTCAGTCTTGATGGCCGGGTCACACTGGGCGGCCTGGGGAACAGTCTGTCCTGCCTGCCAACACTGTATCTGGCTGTGCTCGGGCCAGACTGCCACGGGTCTGAGCTTGGGTCCCTATGCGGTGGCCGTCAGACTGGCTCATCACCCCTTCTAGGCTGCTTTGTGGTTTTTTTTTTGTTTGTTTTTAAAGTTGTTTTTGCCCACACCCAGTGGGGCTTGGTTTTCACCCAGCATTACAGAGCTCAGAGATCACTCCTGGCGGAGCTTAGGGGACCCTGTGGGATGCTGGGGATTGAGCCCAGGCTGGCCACATGCAAGGCAGGCGCCCTTGCTGCTGGACCATCGCTCTGGCCCCTGGCACTGATGTTTTTCTTATGTGGGGACGACAGGGGAGCCAGGGCAACCCCTGGCAGTGCTCAGGGGCTGCACAGTGCAGGGATCAGAGTCCAGGCCCTCCCTCACAGGCGGGCGTATCTCCCAGCGCCGTGGGCTCACCTGCTGGGAGCCCGGGCTGGTTGTGGGTCAGCACCTGAGTGCTCGCCCGGCGTGTGCCTGGCGATGCTCAGGGTTTTGCCATTTCTCCTCTCCGTCTAACCTGGTGCTTATTTCAGGTCCTGTCCAGAATGCCGCGTGATATCAGAGTTTGTAATCCCAAGCGTGTATTGGGTGGAAGATCAGAATAAAAAGAACGAGTTGATTGAAGCTTTCAAACAGGGAATGGGGTAAGTGCTCTGGGCCCTGCATTCACCCCCGAGCCCTGCCGCCTCTGAGCTTTTCCTTTTCTCCGGCATCACGCTGGCTGTGGGCACACAGAGATGACCAGGGCCACAGCGAGGTGTCCTGGGTGACTTCTGTGCCGCCCCTGCAACCCAGTTTGAGGTATTAAGGTTAGCTTGTCACCTGTGGTCATTTGTTCAACAAATACTGGTCAGAGATCTGCGCGTGGACCCTGTCAGAGCCCAGGGAATCGAGCATTCGGCAGTTCCACGAAAACTTGGCCCTCTAGAGCGTGTGTAGTGAAAGAGTCAACAAGAGTAAGAAGCAGTCACGACCCAAAAATCAAGATGCTGACTCAGGGCTAAGGAATGACCTGGGCAGGGCGGGGTGAGGGCACCGTGGTTCAGGGTGGTTTCTGGGACCCTGAGGCCGCTGGAAGGGAGGATGGAGCCTGGCAGTCTTGCTCAGAACAGAGCAGGGAGCCGCTGGCCAAGATGAGTGCCGGCCGACCGGCAGCTGACCGCTGGGAGGATGTCCCCCAGGCAGGAAACCCTGTAGGGCCTGGGGCAAAGGTGGATTTGCTCGGTGTTTCCTCTGCCAGCTGCTTGGGCCAGAGAGCTGGTGCCGCCGGCCGGGAGGGCGCCCTGAGTGCAGAGCCGGGAGGCCGTGAGCAGGCTGCCGCGGAACCCTGCTTTGAGTTTGGTGCTGTAGGGTACGAGCCTCGTTGCAGTGGCCCTGGCTGTCCCTGCCACTGCATCACACACCCATCCCGAGGGCTGGGTCGCCGCACTCTGGGTGCCGTCCTGCCTGTGTCCCCTCTGCAGGCGTCAGGAAATCACGGGAGCGAGGCTCTGGGTTCGAGGGGTTGCCACCTGTCGAGTGGCTGGTTTCAGTGTTTTGGGCAGTGGTGGTAGTTTTGTGGGTTTGGTTTGGGGGCCTCAGGGCTTCCTCCTGGCTCTGTGCTCAGGGATCGAACCCGGGTTGGCTGCGTGGGACGCAGGTGCCTTATCCGCTGTGCTATGGCTCCTCCCCACCTTTCCAACTCACAGCATCTTAGGCTCACTGAGGTGAAACGGGGCTTAACCCCAGCCCGGGTCAAAGGTGATGAGTAGCTGAAACAAGAAGCAAACGGGGAGACATTAGACTCGGGGTTCTGGCCCGGCGAGTGAGGATGGTGGGGTTGGGCTCTGAAGTGCCTGTCGGGATCTGAGCCCGCGGCTGCCTTTCATTCACACGTGTCCACGCCATTTCCTCACTGCAGCCTGCCCTTGGTGGCTGACGGCCGTTCCTCTTCCACTCTGGCCTTGGCTTAGATTGTGAATGCAGAGAGGCTTCACGGCCGCATGCTTTGCCATCGGTTGTGGCCACTGGGCCACATCCCCCAGTAGCCTGGTAACCAGGATGGGAAAGTCTCCTGACCGCTCCCTAGGTGTGTGCCCACCCAGTCCTGATGGCCTTTGGGCCAGGACAGACAGGCTGTGTTCTGTGCGGTTAGCCCGAGTCCCCTGCACTGTGAGGTCGCAGCGGTGCTCGGGTCCCAGCTGTGGAGGGCAGGAGCTCTTGGATCCAAGACCCTCCCATCCGCCCGGGGCCCACCCCTGAGTGCTCCCGATCCTTCCCCACGTTCTCCGGCAGGTCTCCGGGTCTCCGGCTGCCTGGTGCAATGCTGTCCCAAGGCGTTTTTTTTTTTTTTTAAAGACTCTTAAAAGCTGTTTTCCTTTCAGCTCCCTGGCAGCATTTTGCTGTGATCATTTCTGAGATATCGGTTGTAATTGAAATTTTCATGCATCATCTCTGAGGTTGGCACCAAGATTTACTCTCTACTCTGGCTTCCAGTGGTTTGTTACTTTGCCCTCGTGCTTCCACACATTGTTTTCTCTGAACATGTGCTTATGTCGTTCCCAGAATCAGGGACACTTGGGGCATTGTTTTGTCAATTTTTTCTCTCCTGGTATTTTCCTTTTGGAATTCTCAGTCACACGTGACCAGCATGGTGATACCGTGCCGTGGAGCGCAGCTGTTTATTCTTTTCTGACTCGGTCTTTGTTCTTCGTAAGCATTTGTAGTGGCTGTTGAAATCCGCACCCTCAGACATGAGCTGTGCTGCTGGTCTCACCTCGCAACGGCTCTTTTTTTTTTCCATTTTTGTTTTTGGGTCACACCCAGCCGTGGTCAGGGTCACTCCTGGCGGCCAGGTGTGCATCTGGGGTGCTGGGGGTCATACCCAGGCAGGCAGGGTGCGAGGCGTGCGCCCTCCTGGGGCTGCTCAGCTCTGCACCCGCTACATGGGTGGTTTCCTCACTGCAGTTCACGCCGCTGGCCCGGTTGCCCGAATGTCAGTTAGTAATAGGGGAGTCTAGTCCCCAGACCAGCATGCAGGGGGCATCTTTGTTCTCCCCTTTGCTTTCTGATCCCTCTCTCCCCTGGCGGAGCGGAGGAGGTCTGGATGCCCTCCAGCAACGCCCAGCAGTGAGGCCAGTGATTGGTCCAGTGAAAGGGCTCAAGAAGGCTGGAGCGATAGAGCAGCGGGGAGAACATTTTGCCTTGCACGAGGCCGACCCAGTTTCAATCCCCGGCATCTCATAGGGTCCTCGGAGCACTGTCAGGAGTGATTCCTGAGTGCAGGGCCAGGTGTGACCCAAGGAAGCCAAAAAAAAAAGAAAAAAGGGCTCAAGAATCTGAGGCTGTCTCGGCCCAGTGGTTGACAGCACCTGTCAGTGTTTGGGGGACCGTGTGGCGCGAGTCTAGTCCGGGGTCCTGCACATGCTGGACATGCGCCCGAACTGCCCTTCAGCCTCCTTTGTGAATTAAAAACTAGGGGTGGGGGGAATGGGCCACACCCAGTGCCTCCTGGTTGGCTCTGCACTCACAAATTACTTCTGGAGGGGGTTGTGGGATCAAACCTGGGTTGGCCTCATACTAGGGATGGCTCCGACCCAGTTTTGTTTTTTGAATCTTCAGTTGAACTGCCTTGATTTGTGGGGGTGCTTTTTAAACAAAATCCCTACATGCTCCCTGAAAATCTACCTTTTTTTACATTTTATTTTCATAAAGTTGTTCACAATAATACAACCCGGAGGCAGTTCATAGAAGGGCGGGGAGCGGGGAAGCGGGGGCCCAGTCCCGGCCCCTTTTTTCAGTCACTGGCCCCGCATACCTGGGTTTTTCAGAGGATTTATTCTTTTGCATGGGGGGCCCAGGACAAGCCTGTGAAGGTCGGCCGTGAGGGAGGCAGCAATTGGGTCTGGAGTTTGGGGGCTGCCGGGGTTCCTTTGGGGCAAGCAGAGAGAGGACGCCTGCTCCTGTCTGAGGCACCTGGTGACAAATTAACCTTCTTTAGGTACAAAAAACTCCCAGCTACATCTGAGGCTATGGTTGTCGTCCCCGCCTCAATTTTCCAGTTTCTCCAGTTGCGGGGCAGAGCTAGTATCTCTCCCTGCTTCTTCCTCCGCCCCCTGTCTCCTCCTCACCAGAGTCCATTTGCCTTGATACCAGGCTCTGGGTTAGCAGTTTCTTCTCAGAGAATGACCCTGGCATTGTAATCTTACATAATGGCCCTTTTCCAGTGCCTTCCAGCCTTTTAAAGTTCTTGTGTCTGCAGGAGAGTGGGTTGGTGAAGTGGACTCATCTGTACTGTAGCAAAACCATTACCGTTTATAAATGGTTCCTTTAAGTTGACTGGCAATGCCCAGCACTCCCTGTGAAGTGCCACGTGCCCACCACCAGAGGGCAGGAGTGAGACTGTAGCGGGACCTGGGTCCTGCCTTTGCTTTTGGGTCTTTCCTGGACTTGGTGTTCGCTGATGAGAGCGACATTAGGCGTCCGTGGACGTGCCTGACAGGCTCTGTGGTACTGGTTCCTACCAGCAAAAGCTCCATGGGAGACAAGACTAGAAAGACTGTCTCACAGGAAGGTGCAAAAGCACATTTAGGACACGATGTTCTGGTGACAGATTTGCTACAAGACACCTGGGCCAGTCTGCAGCACGAATGCCCTGTGTGGTGTGGGGTGAGGTGGGCCCAGGGGAGGTCAGGCCAAAGTGAGTCGAAGGTGCTGAAGTGCTGGACTGCCCGAAGGTCCCGAGGGGCAGGGTGACAGGGAACGCCACCAGGACCTGTGGGAAGTGACGCCCTTGGGGCCCCTTGGTGATGGGGTTCCAGTGAGTGTGCGGGGTCTGGGTCAGCGGGGCACCACACGCCTCTTCGTGGTCACCAGACTCAGCAATGGAAAGAGAACAGTTTCCTCGAGTTGGGGGGAGTCACTTCTGGACGCGGTGATTTGGTGTGGGGAAGGCATCTTTGGAAGAGCCACTCGGAGCCCAGGCCGGGTCTGGCCCCCTTCCAGGCCTACTGGCCTCCCACATCACTGCTGGCCAGGAGCAAAGGAAGCATTGGGAGGAGGATGGGGGGCTTCAGCCGAGGGAGGTAGCCCCACTTCCAGACATCTGGAGGCCGGACAGCGAGCCGAGTCCCCTGAAGGAAACTGGGGTGTCTAGCATGTCAGTGGGGATGTCTGCCTGCATATCCTGCGTCCCTGAGCCTGTGTCCCCAGGGCCTCTGTCCAGCACCCTGACCTGCCTCTGGCATGCAGGGCAAGGTTTTTCAACCGCCCTCTCAATTTTCTGCCTTTCAGGAAAAAAGCTTGTAAGTACTTTGAGCAGGGCAAGGGGACCTGCCCGTTCGGAAGCAAATGCCTTTACCGCCACGCGTACCCCGATGGGCGGCTGGCAGAGCCCGAGAAGCCCCGCAAACAGCTCAGCTCCGAAGGCACCGTGCGGGTAAGGAACCTGGTGGGGGAGGTCCAGGCGGCTCTAGGGGCACCGATGGGGGCGGGGAGTGGTGACCAGACGGTGCGTTTTCTGCCCTCGCAGTTCTTTAATTCCGTGCGGCTGTGGGACTTCATTGAGAATCGGGAGACCCAGCACGTCCCCACCGCAGAGGACGGCGACATGACAGAGCTGGGGGACCTCTTCATGCACCTGTCTGGAGTGGAGTCGCCAGAGTCCTGAGTGGGCCCAGCTCCCCCCCAGCCCAGGGAGGAGGCGTGAGAGCCCCGTGACAGCAACCTGAGGAGGCGCCTCTCAGTGAGAGGCTTCCTCCACCGCAGCCGCCTCACTCCCCACGCACGCACGGGAGGCGACGGCTATAAATGACCTAACCAGTAGCAGTGACTGTCGTAGTTGATCCGCGGGCGGCCGGGGGCGCAGCAGGGAGTCTTGGCTCCCAAGGTTTGCAGCTGCCCCCCCACCCCCAGCACATTCATTTCCTGCAGAGAGCCCCCTGCAGTTTCCCAGCGTCTACACCTGCATGGCCAGCAGCTGGCGCTCCAGGGGCCCCCACTGTGCCCGGAGGGTGAGGGGCCAGGCAGCGCAGCCCCTCACCTCTGGGGGGGCCCAAACTGGAGGAGGCCTGGGACTGTCCTCAGCAGCGTGCGTAGCTCACCGGAACGCCTGACTCGGGAGGGCGTCTGGCTCTGGCCGCGGGCCGAGTCAGTGAGGGGCGGCGAGGTCGGGCCGGCCCCCTTCCCCTTCAGGCGCTCCAGATACGAATGGTGGAGGTTCTGCTGTGCGGCCGGTGTCACTTCTAAAAGGAGGAAACAGCCATTAACCTACATTTAATTTATTTTATTAAAATAACATAATTGAGGACCGTCAGATAACTGTATTTTGTCAGGCGCAATAAAAACAATTAAAACCCAGATCGTCCAGAAAATCTGTCCTGCTTCCCTGCGCACGCGCGACTGCTGCAGCAGGGCCAGCCCTGCCCCATGGGGGCAGCTCCTGGAAGACATTAGGGGAAGGTGGGACGGGGAGGGGCCCGGGCCCCTTCCAGCAAAGCACTGGCGACCTCTGCGGAGGGCAGCACCCCGAAGTCCAGTTCCGTAGTACCAAAGCAGCTCCTGCAGGCGGCGGGACAGCAGTCCGGGGCCGTTTGGTGCGTTATGTGCAAAACACCGACTTGGCGCCAACCAAAGGCTCGAGGCGAGCAGACTCCAAGACCACACGAGGGTGCGCCGCCCGCTGCCGCGCACGTCCCACCTCCGAGATCCTCCGCCTTGGCTCACATCTGGCCTCCAAGCCCCGGGCGCGCCTGGAGGAGGCTCAGCCTCCGGGCACGGGCAGGGCGCCCGAGCAGCGTCCTTGACCCCGAGCCGGAGGGTAGGAGGAAAAGGCAACGTGAAGTTAAGGCCCCAGGAGGCAGGAGATCTTAGCAGCAGCTTCCCGGCCCCGCAAGAAGGGAGCCGAGAGTGGCGCCCACCGCATCCCCGTGCGCTGCGGTCAGCTAGAAGACGGGCAGTCTTGGGGACGTGGTCAGCGTGCAGGCGTTGATGTCCTCGGTGTGGGCCGCCCGGTGCAATGACGGCTCCGAGGCGCTCCGGTTGATTTTGGGGAGGGAGTGCTGGAGCAGCTCGATGGAAGACAGGATCTGCAACGAGGCCACATGTGGCTGCCCGGCCGGCCGGCCGGCCGGCCGGCCCGCCCGCCCACCCGCCCGCCCGCCGCGCTCCCAGCCCTGCGCTCTCACCTGCGGGAAGAGCGGCCTCTCCTCCTTCACCTTCTTCACGCAGTCGGCCACGAGCCTCTTCATGGCTTTGGGGCAGTTCTTGTAGAGCTTGCTGAGATCCGGGGAGGCGTACCCTCGGCCCACCATGAAGATGATCTGGGGCACGGGACAACAGTGACAGCCACCCGCCTGCCCGCCCGCAGGAATCTGGGGTGCGGGACAGCAGTGACAGCTGCCCACCCGCAGGAATCTGGGGCCTGGGACAGTGACAGCCGTACCTGGTCGCGGTTGTTGATGTGGGCGTAGGGCAGCTCGCCCGTCATGAGCTCGTACAGGACGATGCCGTAGGAGTAGACGTCCGACTGGAAGCTGAACGGGTTGTTGTCCTGCATCCGGATCACCTCTGGGGCCTGCAGGGGCAGAGCGGGGACGTGGCTCCTTCCTGGCTCAGCCCCGGGGGTGGGGGTGGGACTGACACGGGGGCAGGTGTCGCGGCTCACCATCCACAGAACAGAGCCCGTGGGCTGCTCCACCTGCTGGGACCCGCTCCAGCGCGACTTGACTGTCGCCAAGCCAAAATCTCCGATTTTCACCGTCAGGCCTTCGTGGAGAAATATGTCTCGATGCTTGTTAAGGGCTCTGGCATACGGGAGGGGCCGCGGGCGGGCATTCTGCTAAGTGTCTTCATCTCTCCCCTGGGCTTGCCAGGGGTCCAAAACTGGACAGTCCCAGCCCCACCAGGAGCAGCTCCCTAGCACAGAGCTGGGAGTACCCGCTGTGGGGAGTGGGGTGGGGGGTGGGGGTCCCAGACTCCAGCTGTGGTGAGAAAGGCATTTTCCCCACTCGGGGCACAACCTGGCAGCCGGGTGAGCCCTCCCGCACTGGGCGCAGACAGCTGCCCAGTGACTCCGTCCAGCTGGCCACTATAGAGCCAGTTCACATGATGACCAGTGAACCCCACCACTAACAAGGCGCCTCATTCCTCAGTCACCGGCCCGAATAGGCCACGCCCCAAATCAAGGTCCCTGTCAGCCCAGCAGTGGCCTGCAGTGAGCTTCCATCTGTCCCTGCCTTACTGTGGCAGTGGCCACCAAGCACTGAAGACTGACCAGAATCACTGGACAGAAACTAGAAACACATACTGACCACAGAGTCCCCCCAACCTAATTAAATATAATAAACAGTGCTGGAGAAGTCAGCCTACTTCAGGCCAAAGACCCCCAAGGCCCTTCTGCTGACCCTGACTCCCAGCGAGCAGGCCAAGGATACTGTTGGATTTCATGTCTCTGTGGATGATGTTCTTGGCGTGCAAATAGCTGCGAAGGGAAAGTGAACGTATGAGATGCACTTCAAGGCCCTGCGGAGGAAGCAGTTCCTCGGTGCACACAAGGGCCATGTGTCCGGGCTCCCAAGACAGGTGACCGCGCCCTGCCCTGGGCTGCTGCGGGCTGGCCCACACCACACCTTATCCAGAGGGGAGGCCACAGCACAAATGGGGCGACTGATGGCAAACACTGGCTTGCCATCAGAAAGTAATCCTACCCGTCACCTGATCAAACGGACTCGATACAGAGCAGGGAAGCACTCGGCCTCTCAGCGCAGATGCACACCTCAGACACACCAGTGTCAGCGCTGTGAGAATGGCTGACTTAAGGGCCAGAGGGAGCATGGCATCTGACTGAGGGGCCAGAGAGAGAGCATAGCGGGGAGGGTGCTTGTCCTGCACGACGCCAACCTGGGTTTGATCCTGAGCTTGGTTATATGCTCCCAAGCTCCGCCAGGAGTGAGCCCTGAGCACAGAGCCAGGAGTAAGCCCTGAGAGCATAGCTGGATGTGGCAAAGAATGATGTGAATTTAGACGGTGGTGGGTGCAGAGTTTCTGAATATACTCCACTGGCTTGCACATGTACAATGGCTGGATTTTACGATGAGAATCGAATCCTACATTTTCTTAACAGTCTGGTTAGTCATTAACCTACAGAATTCAGATTCCAGACCAATTTTCAAGGCAGCTCTGAGACTTCCTAGGCACTTGCTGCTTTGGCTTCACTGACGCCTGCACGGAGAGCTGCTCCCCCCCAGAACGGGTCCTGACTGAAACTGTGGCAGCCTCCGGTGCGAGCACAGTGTGTCCAGCGGGGGAGCAAGGGGTGCAGCAGGTGCCTGCGGGAAGCTGATCCCTGGACCCTTCCCCTGGCTGAGTGACGCCCACCGTCCCCGCTCAGGGCCTCGGCACCGCCCACTCACTCCATGCCCTGGGCCGTCTGCCGCGCGATGTCGATCAGCTGGAACATCTGGAACTTGGTCTCCTGGACGTGCAGGTGTTTGTAGAGGCTGCTGCCCTCGCACCACTGGGTCACGATGGCCAAGTTGTCCTTGGTCATGTAGCCCATGAAGAGCAGGATATTCACGTGCCGAGTTTTGCTGGAGAAAGCGGAGAGAGAGAGAGAGAGCGTGCAGGCGCGTCAGCCCATCTCGTGCTGGCCACTCAGACCTGCCCACGGCATTTCCCGACGCCCCCTGGCCTGCGGACAGGCTCGAGAGGGAAAGGTTTTCAAGCAGAAACAAGTCCGCTCAGATGAGTTCTCCAAAGCACTGAAGCCGGAGAGAGCGCCTGGCATTTGGGTCAGCTGGTGCTGAGCCTGTCACCCGAAGGAGCCCGGCATTCCCGGGGCCAAGGATGCAGCCGTGCTTACCGCAGCACAGCCACCTCGTTCCTGAAGGCCTGGAACTGCTCTGGCGTGGGGTCCACCACCTTCAGGATCTTCACTGCAACGTCCCCTGCAAAGAGGCCAGCAGCGCCGTCAGACCCGGTCTGCACCCAGGTGTCAGGCACCCATGTGTTGAGGAAAATATACCAGAAGTCACGCAGATTACTTACACAGATGGGACGAGGGTCTTTTTAAATGACTAAAGTTGACAAGAGAGTGAAAAGGGTGTACTACTACCTATAAAACCCCACTCACGGGGCACAAAAGCAGAAATGTTATCTGCATTTCTGTTTAATGCAGCACTATTCACAAGAGGCAGAATCTGGAAACAACACGAGTGCCTGAGAACAAACGACTGTGGTTAAAGAAACTATGGTACGTCTACACAATGGAATATCATGCAGCCACCAGGAAAAATGAAGTCAGAAATTTGCTTATAAATGGATGGACATAGAGTATCCCGAGTGAAAGGAGTCAGAGCGCAGCACAGACATAGAATGATTGCACTCATTTGTGGCATGTAAAAAAACACAAACTGAGACTATGATCCAAGGTCAGCAGAATCACGGGCCAGGAGGGCTGGTCCATGGCTGGAAGCCTACCACAAGTGGTGGGGATAGGGCAGTTAGGGCAGACCACTACAACAAGGAGAGTTGGAAATGATCACTGGACAAGAACTGAATGCTGAAAGGAGGTAAAGGGACAAACACGATAATCTTTCAATAGCTGTATAGCAAACCATAATGCCAAAAGGGGAGAGAGAAGAGGAGGGAGAGTGCCTGCCAGAGTCAGGCAGGGGGGCGGGACTGGGAGGGAAACTGGGGACATTGGTGGTGGGAAGGGTTTGGAACATTGTATGAAACTCAATCACTAACAACTTTGTACCTATATCTCATAGTGATTCGATAAATAAAATTAAGAACAATTAAAACCACTGACACTGGACTGAAGAGTGGGTAGGGCACCTGCCTTGCTTGCAGCTGACCCAGGTTCAATCCCTGGCACCAATACTGTCCCCCGAGTACTGCCAGGAGTGATGCCTGAGCACAGAGCCAGGAAAAAGCCCCAAGAATCACCGGGTGTGCGGTGCTCAAAACACAAAAAAACAAAAACACAAGCACAGCCTTGAACAAGCTTCTCATCGATGCCTACGCAGACAGCTGGCTGACGATGTGGACACTTATGTGGCTAGAAAATCCTGCCAGTGCACCAGAACGGAAGGCGCTCAAAGGCGGACTGTGCGATAAAAGAAAAGGACGAGATGGGGCAGGCTGTTCTGCCGTGTGCTCCAAATTTCCCAACAATGAATTTGCTCCGTTCAGCCTTCCTGTGAGCACAGCTGGAATGGTGAATAGTGCCTGGTACGTCACTCTGTTCCTCCTTCCAGAAGCTTCTCTGAGAACCTCTGTCTCACCTTTCTTGTTTCACTTTTGGGGAGCATCGACTAGTAAGAGATGATTCTACTGACAGGGCCCCAACTGTTGCCCTGTGACCCTTGTAACATCTGAAGTTACCGTGGACACTGAACAATGACTCCCAAGCTGGCTCCCCTCTGAGGAGGCACTTGATGCTACCGAGACCGTGGGCGCAGGGTGGCGGCCACCTGAGAACCAGCAGACAGCCCCCATGCCACGGCCCTGGGACTCAGGAGGAAGACACGGTCACGTCCCATTGCTCATTCTGGAACCTGAGCCAAGAAAGGGGTGTGGGGGCGGGGCGCGCAGGAGGAAATCTCAGTGCAGGGAGGAGGGCGAGAGGGTTCCTGAAGGAAACAGGGTGAAAAACAACCAAAAGATCTCGCTGAGCTGGACAGGCTGAGCCAAAGAACAGCAGGCGAGGGAAGGTGCGGAAGGACCATCCGTGTTGAGAAACGCCTGCCGTTGCCGGGCGACTTACAAGGCAGGAGATGGCCAGAGAGAAGAGGGGGAGGGTGCACAGACCCGCACGGCCGTCCGCTCAGTAGCAGATCAGGAAGATGGTGGCGACGCTGGTGGTCCAGCCGCCAGGCAGGTTGAAAAAGGAGCAGGCGTGGCTGAGAGGTGTCAAAGGGCCTCTCGGGAGGGGGCCACTGCCTGGCTCCTATGCTGGCTTCCTCTCAGCGTACCTCTGGGCATGCTCTAGTGGTCACTGAACTTACCCTCAAGGTCCGTCCTCCCCCGCAGTCTGAAGGGGACATAAGGCGACCTCAAAGTTCCTGTCGCGAATAACTGGCAGCCCAAGCTGCCTCGCGGTGACTCACCTGACCCCAGAGTCAGCTGAACTTCCTCCACCTCAAGTTTCTCCTTTTTGCAACAACAAACAGGTCTCATTACTACAGAAAGTTCGTCTTTCCTTTGTTCAAGTCCCCTCACCTTTCTAAATCCTATTATACAAAAATCCGCATCACACACGTCCACACTGCCTGCCTGGGAGCCACCGACGGGAAAACGCACCTCCAAGCCACAGAAGCCCCTGCCCAGGGTGATCCCTGAGCACAGAACCAGGAGTCGGTCCTAAACACCTCGAGGTGGGGGGCCCCAAACCCAAACAAACCTCAGAGAAGTGTGTGGTCACAGGAAACGAGTTTGGGCACCACTAACACCGCAGCATATGATAGAACAAAATATTTTCACGGCGAGGGGGTGGCTCAGCCACATGAAGCCACGGGCGCCCCTCATGCCCACAGAAGCCCAGTGGCTGTGCTGTTTACAATCCCCTGGCGGGGACCCCAAGTGCCACAACTTAGTGCGCATGTTCCAGCAGCCCACAGTTAAGTGTCAGCACCACAAAGGGGAGGACACCTCCCCCCGCCACACACAGTACCGATGACAGTCAAGGGAATGGAGGAGAGAGAGAGAGCGAGAGAGAGCGAGAGAGAGAGAGAGCGAGAGCGAGAGCGAGCGAGCGAGAGAGAGAGAGAGAGAGAGAGAAGAGGAGGAGTACACACCCTGGGCACTGACGGGAAAGCAAACACTGCTCACGGCCACAAATGTCACAGCCTCAAAGGCCCCGCGTGCACTAGCCCATGACAGCCCCACCTCCCAACATTAACTGAATACAAGTTCCCCAAGGGACATGGGCTTCATTAAACAAGAAGCCGAGACAAGGATGTGGGCACAGTGCTGAGATCCTGAGTCTGACCTCCAGAAACCCGAGCCCCAGAGCACCCCAGGGACAGCGCCAGCCACCAAACCCTGCTACGTGCAGACACTAAACACTCAGCACAGACTCAAGAACCGGACGGGGCTCCTAGACTGAAGCCCCAAAGCAAAGGGAGCCCCATGGCCGTGCCTGCACTCCCCGCCCGCCTGACCACGGCTGCGAGCTCCCGTGGAGCCACCGTCTCTCGTCTGGGGGCCACAGCACAAGTGCTCCCGGTACTATGAAGTGCCAGGGCAGCAAACCCAGCCCTCCTGCGCCAAGCACGCCAGGGCCCAACAGCCCTCTCCAGCACCCGCGGGTGGCATCTCTGGGTTCTTTGCAGCTTGTTTCTGGAACCCATTCTCGGCAAGATCCTTCCCATCTGCCCCATGCGGCCTGTGTTCCACTGGCCCACAAGAGACCCTCACACTTGCCCACAGGGTTTAATTCGTGTTCACCGGTTTCTTTTTTGTTGTTTGCTTTCTGGGTTATGCCAGGAGATGCTCAGGGGTTATGCCTGCCTCTGCACTCAAGAATTACACCTAGCCGTGCTCAGGGACCATATGGGATGCTGGGGATCAAATCTGGGTCAGCCATGTGCAGGGCAAATGCCTTACTTGCTGTGCTATCACTCGGGCCCACGTGTTCACTGCTTTTTGTTTGCTTTTGGGGTTACACCCGCAATGCTCAGGGCATTGTGATGGCTCTGCACTCGGGAATTACTCCTGGCGCTGCCGGGGGACCATACAGGATGCCGGGGAATGAACTTGGGTTGGCTGCCTGCAAGGCAAACACCTGACCTGCTGTACGATCGCTCCGGCCTCAGTGTTCACTGAATCCTAAACTAGAACACGTTTAGGATCACAGCAATCCCAGCACAGCGACATCCCAGCAGGATGCTCTGAAATGTCCTGAGGGGTCATTAAACCTGCCCTCGCCCTGGGGTCGTGGGCCACGGAGAGTGCCGCTGTGAACCTCACTGCACGAAGCAGCTCCCCACCCCTGGGCCTGCAAAGCAGGGAGGGGAGCCCACACCTACCGTGCCACTTGCCCTTATACACGGTCCCAAAGGAGCCCGAGCCGATCCGTGTGGACAGCATCACCTCACTGGCCTCTATCTCCCAGTAGTAGCTTGAATCTCTCTGGCCACGGGACCTCTGCAGGAAGAGATGTTCATCCTGTGCCCTCCGTCCGGGCTCCATCCACTGCCCCCCCCCCCCACGGGTAACCAACCCCCAGTCTCGCGCTCTGCGCAACACCGTTTTGGCTGTGTGCGGCTCCACACAGAAAGCGTGTGCCCGCCACTGCCCGCAGGCCAGAAACGGGTGAGAAGCCTGACGCTCCGCGGGACGGTGCAAGGCGCCTTCCCAAGCCCCGAGAGGAAAGCACGGGAATTTCCGTCTAGGCGCGCAGCCGCTACTCACGATCTTGTTCTTCTCCTGGCCCCCGGGGCCCGCCCGCTCTCTCTGCGCTGGCGCTCTGGGCTGGGACCAGCCTGTGGGGCTGAGGTGGTTGGGGCTGCTGGACAAGGCTGAAGGTGAGGCTTAATGGACAAGACAAACAGAGTCCACACCGGGTGAGCCGACAGGAGATACACAGCATAAAGAGAAAAAGCCCGTGAAGCCGTGCTCAGGGACCGACCAGTACCTGATTCACTGTGCCCGCGGATGGCGTCCTGAAACAGAAGAGACAGTGAGTCAGGGGCTGCCCGCCCAGGGGGTCAAGGGGCAGGGGACGGGAGGCAGCGGGGGGAGGGGGGACTTGCAGGTACAAAGCAGATTACAGAATCTCTAAAATACAAAGGATCTGATTATATATTCTAATTTCCCATTACGTCACCAAATTTAAGTGACCAGTATCCCCCATTCTGTCACCAAATATTAGGAAGACTGTCCAGGTTACACACAATGGCAAGCAAGTCCTCTCCCTCAGCAGAAAGCAGCGTACACAGCACACTGATATTTTCTTAGAAAGACAAGGAAAGTGCCCCTCCACTATGGGGAAGGGAAATGGAGGCTAGCTCCACGAAGACCCCCCAGAGGGAGGGGTTTGGATTCAGGGACTAGTCCTCTCTCCCGTCCCAGGAGTTTGGGACAAAATGATCAGAAACTGGATTTGATAATGGTAAGCACTATTATTACATACTTAGAGCCTAAAAACAGACTGCTGGAAGGACTGTAAATTTACTACTTCCAAAACTACATCTGACATAAAATAAAAAGAGAAGAGAAAGAATACATTTGAAAAAGCAGAGAGATTTAGCCAGGAGGTGGCCTAAAACATGACCTTTTGATCTCAGCCCTGCGCTCTGGGACCACAAAATGTTCTTTAACCTTTATGGACGGGCTCTAAAGTTAGTTCCTTTCTACTCGTGTAAAACACTGAAGGCTGTCTCTAGAACTTAGTAGAAACCGGGGAAATTTAAATCAGCGTCTACAATAAAACTTAAATTGCCATTTTCTAAATCCTCAACTGAGGTTTATAGACACTGGTACAATAAAGCCACGTGGCCCCTAGGAATTTCTCGGGAAAGGATGCTTGCTGTGCCAGGAAAGAGTCTTTCTGCACAGAGCTATTGCTGGATCGACCCCGCTCCCTGACTTCTTTATGAGATTAAAAAAAAAACAGCACAAGTCCAGCTGCGGCTCTGGTGCCCCTCTGTGGCTGACTCCACTAAGTTTCAATAACCAATAATATCTAGTCCAGGGACCCCCAATCTGGCCAGTCTCCAGAATCACCTAGACAGGGGTTTAAAACAACAGGTGCCCAATACACACACACACAACACCCCCTCACCCCCCGGGTCTACTCCAACACGCTGGGGACAGTGGGGTCAGGAATGTGTACATGTGGAAGTTTAGTGAGTGCTGCCAAGTGGCCAATACACTGATCAGAACACCTGAATTTCAATTTGGCAGCTGGAACTCTGTAAGTCAACTACCCTTTCTTTTATTCTTCATTGCCAAGCTTTGGGTACTTCTATATGTGTGTGGGTGGGTGGTGGGTGTGTGATTTGTGGGCCATATCCCACAGTGCTCAGGGCTTCCTTCTGCCTCTGTGCTTAGGGATCACTCGTGGTGCCGGTGCTCAAACCCAGGCTGACCTGTTAGGAAAGTGCCCTGCTTACCTACTCAACTATCTTGCAAGCCCTAAACTTCCCTATCATTTGTTTCAAGTTTAAACTTGGCACAATGCATTTCCGTTGCCTAGATTTATACCCCCACACAGTAGGATACTTTTTTCTTTCTCTTTTGTTTCAGGTCACACCTGAAAGTACTCAGGGGCTACTTTATTCCTGCCTTTCTGCTCTGGGATCACTCAGGGCAGTGCTGGTTGACCATATATGGCTCAAACTAGGATAGGATACATGCAAAGCAAGCACGTTAAGTCCTGTACTATCTCTCCTGTACTTTTCTTCTTGTCATAGCATTTTTACCCCTCTACTCATTATCATACATACACACACACACACACACACACAGACACACACACACACACACACACACACACACACACACACTCTCCCTTCATACACTCTTCTATGCTAATTTTCACAGCTGAATTAAGTCATCACAGAAGTTTTTCAGTAACTTTGGAATTTTAAATACTCAAACTAGAAATGGCTTTTTAAAGGAATGTATTCTTTTAAAATGTTGAATCATATGTAAAGTTTTTCAAAAGAGAAATCAAATTTTATTTTGCAAAATAGAGCTGTACTGGTCGCTTTATAATAAAACTTCAAGAAATCCCACTTTTCATGTTACCTCTAAGTATTAAAAGCATCAAGAGGGGAACGTAGTCCTGTGCTAATTTCCGCCCTGGTGGGGAGTTCCTCTTCATTCTGACTTTCCAATAAACCTTTCCATTTAAAAAGGGGGAAAGGCCACAGGGGAAGAAATCAGAGAGCAGAAGTAAGTGGGACAGCATCTCTCTGTGTCACTGCGAGGGCTGGTTAGAGTGAGTCAGAAGCTCCATCTGGAGAGTGCTCCATCTGGAGGGACCACACTGGATGCAGGGATCGAACCCAGGTTAGCCAGGTGCCAGGCAAGTACCTTACTTGCTGTACTATCTCTCTGTGCCCCCCCATATTTGTTTTTCTTTTTCTTTTTGGGTCACACCTGGCGATGCTCAGGGGTCACTCCTGGCTCATGCACTCAGGAATTGCTCCTGGCGGTGCTCAGGGGACCATATGGGGTGCTGGAAATCGAACCTGTGTCGTTCATGTTGGCTGCGTGCAAGGCAAACGCCCTACCCGCTGTGCTATTACTCCAGCCCCATATTTGGTTTTTTAATGAGGTATAAATAAACAGTGATGCTATGAGCATCAACTAATTAAACCTAAAATTGAATTTGGTTGGAAATAATTTTTAACTTTATTTAATGCCCTTAGTCTCCAAAGCTCACCTAAGAAACTTATTTCACTTATCAGCAATACCACACAACAGCATTTCTTTTACTCCTATTATAGTCTATTGCCAAAAAAAGCAAACATGAAAACAGGTCTGACAAGAAATACAACTCTGAACTTAGCAAGTGTCTCATTTTTGACAGTCTACTGCCTGACAATCTTAGCAATCCTATTAGTATAGAAGAAGGCAAAGGCATGAAGAAAAATACCTACTCTTCCCCTCAAACAAAATCGTCTGGAACACGGCCTGGGAGAAGCATTCAGGCTGTTATTCTAGTCCAAAGCAACGAGAAATAAAGAAGAATAAAGAACAAAGGAAGTATTTTAAGTGTAATCAGTTGTTATCAAAGATGAACTTTCAGAAAGCAAACCAAACAAACAGAAGACACCAGAAGCCAAGAAAAGAAAAGGCAGCTGGAAAACACAAGCTTTGGGTACTTTTTCATCTCCCCGAAACCCTGTGTATTAACATCCTACAGCACTGCCCACACATTTCTAACTAAAATCACCCAGTCTTTCAGAGAGTAAATAGCTCTCCATCCATCATATTTTTTGTTCCCCTATTTTTTTTTGGGGGGGGGAGGGTGCAACACCTGGCGGTCTCGGCTTACACCTATCTCTGCACTCAGGAATCACTCCTGGGGATGGTCGGGGGACCTATTGGATGCCAGGGATTAAATCTGGGTGGGCCAGGCACAAGGTAGGCGCCCCACCCGCTGATCTATTGCTCTGGTAGAGCTCATTCACGTGCTCAAAAAATCTGGGCAAGCCTACCAGGGAATGAAAGGACTGACATGCGACCCTATCTTCAGGTCATTTCAGTCCCCCATCAATCATTCAGTCTGTCTAAAGATGCTGTCGATGAAAAAGACCCTACAGAAGCCGAGAAAGTGCTCAAGACTTCGCCAGGCTGGAAAACCAAACAAAACGCGGACACAACAGTCAGCCCTCTCCCGAGGGGCCCCATTACCTCAATCATCCTGCTGTCCACAGGCAGAGTGGTGCTGACCATGTGGACGTTGGGCGTGGACGTGGACCTCTGCCTCTGAGAGAGGGACCCTTCGGAGGAGGAGCTGGAGGTGTTGAAGGTGAAGGCGTGGGGCGTGGAGTAGCGGTGCTGAGAGCTAGGAGAGGGGAGAGAAGCGCTGAGGCCCACACCCCGGAGCCAGGCTGCCCCCCGCCTGCTCCGTGTCCAGACACTCAAGGACAACGCCACGCGCCAGGACTCTGGAAAAGTGCTCCCAGCTTTCGGGATGCGCCTTTTAACACACTGACATGGCATGTGCCACCACGCAAGTGTGCGCAGCTCACACCCGATGTGGTTTTCTTAACACAAACTGCTGTCGGCGTGTTAAGATTCTCTTCGGTCCCCGTGATTTTGCCTGCCTATTGCTCAAGGCTGGGGTGGGGGCTCCTGACAGCACTCGGGGGATCCAGAACTACCAAGAACTAACCAGTGGGGCTCCAACCTGGGCCCCCCACGGGCGAGACAGATGCTCTAGCCCGTCCCTCAAACTCTCTCCTCAGCCCCACACCCCGCGTATTTCTGAGAAGAAAAAAACGCATGTACTTAAATTCACACAGAAAGAAGGCAGCCGCTTACGTTTTCTTTGTTGGGGACCAATAAGCTGCACAGACTACTCGGAAAACTTGCACTATCCTGGGGGAAGCACAGATGCTCAGCTAGCGGGGCCCCGCCCAGCTCACAGACACTCCGCAGGAGACTCTGAACTGGCGGTGGGGGACAGTGGTGAGAAGCTGCCCCTCTTTTGGACCCACTGGGGTTGCTCGAGCTGTTCCCAACCAGGACCTGCTTCTCATCTAGTCTCCTTCGAGACCCTTTGCCCGACCAGTGGCTGAGTCAGGTCTGTCCCTCCCTGCATTTAGACAGGTTTCACCTGTGGTCCCCTGGCATCTCCGGAAGGCCTTGGGGGGTCGCTGAGGAACACTGGGTTGGATCCAAAAAGGGCAACACCTTCCCCACTCCTCTCCTCCACAGCCTGTTCGGATTCAAGCTGCAGCACGGCCTGGCCAGCCCCTTTTTACCAACACCAAACACAACGTACTGAGCCCGAGATTTTCAAATTTGCTCTGAAGAGTAGTGTGTCTGGTTCAGATTTATATACCACGGCCTTGAATTTGAAAGACGAAACGCTGATTTTCTAATTCCTCAGGGGGAAAATGCCTTCCTAGGTCATCTAATGTTTGCGTATGCCTCCTGAGGCTTGGTTTCTCTATGAAAATTTTTCTCAGGTTTTTGAACCTGTTTGCTTTCCAATTTATTAAAGAAACAAACAAAAATCCAGCAGACATATAACTAATAAAAATATAACTTCAAAAAAAATCCTTGCTCAAAGATAATGCTTGCTGTCTTTAGCAATTTCCACTTGCTTTACTTTTGTTTGCTTTTTCTTTTGTTGGGCGATCACACCGGGCAATGCTCTGGGCGTATCCCTGGCTGTGCTGGGGGTCAAGTCAGGTCTCACCCCCCAGCCCGACCCGTTACTATCTCACAGGCCCTCCAGTTGTTTGACAAAGGGAATTAAATTAATTAAAGTCAGATACTGTGAACAAATATGTTTCAGGTTCCCAATCTGTCTGCACTACCCAAGAAACATGAACCCAATAAATCTTTGGTCTTTTTAATGTATTGGTTTAAAGGACTCACCTGGTGATGCTCACTGCTTACTCCCATCTCTGTGCTCAGGAATCACTCCTGGCAAGGCTTGGGAGACATATAGGGTGCTGGGGATCGAATCTGGGTGAGCCACATGTAAGGCAAGTGACGTACCCTTGGTATGATCTCTCCAGCTCCAATAAATATCTGGTCTTAAGGTTAGAACACAAGTTCATGCAAACTCATCGGCACTTTAGATAAAATATTAAAATCTATCTGGATTATATTCTAGGGCAAGTCTATGAAATACCATGGTTTTAGCAATACAAAATCGTAAGAAGCATTCTAAATTGGAAGGTCTTCTTTCTTTCCTTTTCCTTTATTTGTTGTCTGGGCCACACCTGGAGATGGAGATGCTCAGAGGTTACTCCTGGCAGTGCTCAGGGGACCATACTGGACGCCAGGGATCAAATCTGGGTCAGCTGCATGCAATGCAAGCGCCCTACTCACTATACTATCCGTCTGGCCCCAAATGCACATATATAATTTGGCGACTCAATGCATTACACGCTTAGAAGGTAAAATCTCAAGTTCTCTTAAAGGTCATATGAAAGAACTATGACAACAGAAGAAAAATTGTAACCAGAGTCACCTTCTAGAATATAGGAACTACAGATTACAAAAAGTACGTTCTACAATCTATCAATCCCACAGAAGCCGTGTGGGGTTCACATATAAGAAAGCCTACTCAATCCGACCTGTCTGGACAGCACTTTCCAAAGGACAAGTTGTAGTTAAGAAGTTACCTGACAGGCATCCGGGAAACAGACTCTCGCATCCGACGCATGGTCAAAGAAGGCAGTGCTGGGACGCCAGTGTCACCAGCAGTGGAATTGGGAAATAATCTAGATGAAAGCAGAGAACGGTTGGTTATCAGCTGATGGAATTCCACAGCCAGCCTGTCTCACCTACAAGCACGCAGGAGGCTTCCCCATCCCAGTTCCTCATCCCGGGCCACAGGGACAGCAACCCTGGAACGCGGACAACCACCACTAGCCAGCAAACACCAGGCTCCTGGGGCATTTATACATTTAAGCAATCAGATGCTCTAGTAAGACACTCAATACCTAAATCACAAACTATTTCTAAAAAACATTCTGGTCCAGAAGCACACAGAAAAAACTAGAGTAAGTCTCAGTGAGTTTGGGGGAGGGGAGGCAGGAGGAAGGGGGTTGGGATGTTTTGTTTTATTTTTAAGTTCTGGGGCCATATCCACAGCACTCAGAGCTTATTCCTGGCTCTGCACTCAGGAATCATTCCTAGTGGGCTCGGGGAACTGTATAGATGCAGGGAATCGAACCCAGGTCAGCTGCAAGGTAAGTACCCTATACATGCTGTACTATCACTCCAGTCCCCTTTGTTTTTTAAGCACCTTCCCCACAAAAAAAGGGTAAAGCTCTGACTTCACATCCCTGCCAACATTTTTAAAAAAGCAGTTTGGAACATGTACTCTTAGTTCAAACATTATTAAACAATACTTTGCCTAGATAAAACATATTTTGGTAACTGTTTGTCCCCTGGGGGATAACGTTTTTAAGATTTTACATTCTGGGGTCAGAGCAATAGTACAGCGTGTAAGGCACTCGCCTTGCGAGCGCCAACCCAGGTTCCATCCCCAGCATCCCATATGTACCGCAAGTCCCATCAGGACTGACCCTGAGAGCAGGGCCAGGAGTAAGACCTGAGCACCACCTGGTACCCACCTCCCACCCTCAATGATTTTTGCATTCAAACCATCTGATAACGTTTTCTCCAGTGAGCTGAAAAAAGCAGCATCGCCCATGCTTTCCAGTCCACACACGGAATAACTAAACCCCAACGGGCCATCGTACACACTTTCAAAAATGCTTAGACTTCTCCTGCCCCTTTACAGTCTCTGAAGAAAAAGAGTGCTCACAGGAGCTGCCTGATGTTACTCCAGTCCACACACATGGTAGGTACTTTGGTGCTACAGTGCTCGTGAAATTTGTAGCCGCAAGTCTGACACCGAAATCCATTTAGCAGAAACTTCTGACAGATGTCACAGAAGGCAAGCTTCAGGAAGGTCTTCCGTGCCTGGGACAAGAACAAAGGTATGAACTGAGGAAGTAAAGGAAGGCGGAAGACAAAAAAAACCTCCGGATTGGCCCCAAGAAGTTTTAATTTATGGAATTAAGAATATGGGGGCACAGTGTCATTACTTTACAACTAACCTCTGCAGAGACAGCAAGCTCAGGTCCACTACTTTTCGGGCTGAGAACTCTGCTGCTTCTAAGAGTGGGGCAGGTGGTCTCCCCACCCCACACCGCCGCTCACCGCCAGCAGCCCCTGCAGCCACACCCACATCTGCTGCCACGTAAGCCACAGCCCAGCTTTAGAGCTTCACAACTAATCTCAGAAGAGATGCACAGCAGGCCCAGGAAACTCATCAGCTCCTGGAGTTTGCTGGATCTCCAAATCCCACAGTACTGACAGCCCAGCAGGAGCACACAAAATGAGATAGAAAAGTAGCATAGAAACCAACTCGAGGGCTGGAGCGATAGCACAGCAGGGAGGGCGTTTGCCTTGCGCACGGCCAACCCGGGTTTGATTCCCAGCATCCCATACGGTCCCCTGAGCACCGCCAGGAATAATTCCTCAGTGCATGAGCCAGGAGTAAATAAACCCTGTGCGTCTCCGGTGTGACCCAAAAAGTGGGGGGAGAGGGGGAGCAAAAAAAAAAAAAAGAAAAGAAACCGATTCAGCTCAGTAAACAAAGAGTAACACAGAAGGTCAACTAGCAACAGCAGCTTAGTAAACGAGACCCCATGGTGAGAGAGAACAATTCCCACGAATCTTATTTTACTGGTCTTTTTTTTTGTCTGTAATTTCATTAGCCATTTTATTGTAACAAGCAATATAAAATAAATTACTTCCTGCCTGTTCAGGGGACAGGCTTGGCGAGGGGGGGAGGGGGGAGTGGAGACAATGGTGGAGGGAAGGTTCACACTGGTGGTGGAATGATGGTGTTGGAATACTGAATGCCCAGAACTAGATTAACTATACAACAAACAACTCTGTAAACATGGTATTTAAATACAGTGTGAGAGAGAGACCGAGAGAGAGGCTTGCCTTCCATACGGTCGACCTGAGTTTGATTCCCAGCCCCACACAATGCCCAGGCCCCACCAGGAGTGATCCCTGAGTGCAGAGCCAAGAGCAATCCCTGAGCACAGCTGGATGTGGTCCAGTAACAACAACAAAATACTTCCAGCACCTATAAAACAACCAGAACTTAAGGTTTATCTGTGACTAATGAAATGAAAGAGCCTTACCATAAAACACTGGTTTAACTAAATCTAAGCGCCCAACAAACATATGCACTTTATGTCTTTAAGTTTATCGTCAGTCGAAACACCCAACAAGAAGTATCCAACTTACAAAGTTGTGTGTTGTGAGGGGAACATGGTCCAGAAAATCTACTTGAAGCTCTTCTCCGATCAATGAAGCTGCATCCGTATTCCAATCCAAACGTGCTTTTTTACTAAAGGGAATTTTTTGAAAATATGAAGGAGAAAAGTTTAAGAGTTCAATACCAACAGTAACGAGAATTGCTATATATCTTTTTGCTATACAGACATGAAGTTTATTTGATACCACACACTTCTTTAACTCATACAACAAACTTAAATAAGAATGATCACTTTTTCGCAGCGTAGGGGATGGCCCATCCACACATGCTTAGGGAGTCCAACACCAATACCCGGCCAGTTGAGCTAGACAGTTAACGCCAGACCCTATGAGTGGCGGGTTTCAGGGCCACACCTGGCTATGCTCAGGACAGGCATGCAGTGCTAGAATCAAAAAGGGATTCTCTGCCAAGAATCAACATCTCGAAAGTGAGAGCGAGCTAAGGCACTCAGATTGAACTCATCCAGATCCACAGTCAGTGTGAGGGTCTGTGTGAGAATCCCAGTCTGCAAACTCCAAAGCTTACATTCTTAGAATAAAGTCTTCCTTAAAACAATGAAATAAACAATCTCACAATAATATATAATTGAATGGATTTTGTGAAGTCAAATTCCTATAAAGCAGTAAGCTCCCCTAGGATTAATATAAAAGGATTACTACAGCCACAAAATTTAATCTTCACTAGTTCACTTTGTTTTAGAAACCACACAGATAGGGGGCTGGAGCAATAGTACAGCAGGTAGGGTGTTTGCCTTACACGCAACCTGGTGACCCGGGTTCAATTCCCAGCATCCCATATGGTCCCCCGAGCACCGCCAGGAGTAATTCCTGAGTGCAGAGCCAGGAGTAACCCCTGTGCATCGCCAGGTGTGACCCCCGCCCCCCAAAAAAAGAAAAAACGAAAAAAGAAACTATACAGGTAATAAGACATCACAGAGGCCAGAGAGAGTTGGGGTCCATGCACTTGGGGCACAGCCTGCCTTGACCCAGACATGGCACACAGCCCCCAGCATTACCAGTAGTGATTCCAGAGCACAGGGCCAAGGTGTGGCCCCCAAACTCAGCCCTCCTACCCCTCCTGAACCCCACAAAGGAAGCACAAATGAACATGCATTTCAGTAGCCTTAACTCTACGAAGTGGTTTTCTGGATCCATAAGTATAAGCTGATGCGAGAATTACTATGAGGTTAAGGGGAACGTGGCCACTCGCTACAGCCCTCGCACTGTGTGAGGTGGCGAACCCGGTCCCTCTCACAGGCATGCCACGATCCTGAGCTGATCAAGATTCCTGGCACCACGAGCACCTGCCCCCCACTGTGGCTGGGTGCGTGCAAGAGCTACACTAACAGGCAAGTGCAGACCCTCCTTATCCCACCTGCAGCAGAAGAGGAGGGAAAACACTCTTGGATACTCTATGTTGATGGCACACAGAAAAAAAAAAAAAGTAAATAAATGGGCAGCATCTTTCTGTGTCCTAACGGAAGATTCAGACTCTACCAGGTCTTACTGACAACGTCCAACCTCCCTGTGGCCACTGTCACGAGAAACAGAATCAGCCACGTACGGCTGTTCTTGGCGCAGAAACCCTCCTGCACAACTGGGCCTGGTGTGACGACGCTGCGGGAACTCAGCAATTGCTGAGGGAGTTCGTGAGCAGCCAGTCCCCTCGCCGACCCTTCCCTCCATTGCCGCGATGCCCAGGAGTCGCCGTTACGAGGGCGGCAGCTCTCGCGGTGGTGTGCCCGCACTCGCTGTCTGTGCTCCCACACTTTCTGGCTGTGGTGCCCGCAGGGGGTCACTTCTCGGAAGGGCACTCCTGGCTCCAGTGCCCACACATCCTTGCAGTCGCAGGCCTAAGGGACACCTGGCTACTGAGCTGCGGGAATCACTGGGGTCCGCACCCCTGAGCAGGGGCGCCCCCCACACCGCCAGTGGAAGCCAGGAACCTTGGACAGCAGAGTGCTAGAATGACATACAGCACACATGGTGGCACTCGGGTGGAACCCACAGCCACACATCTGCAAGACAGGGTCTTTAACCACTGACCTACCTCGCAGCCCCCGAGAGACTGAATCTCTTCAGGACAGCAGCCTTCCGCCGTGATGCAGGGAAACCCTGAGAAGTCTCTCAGTCACGGCGTCTAACCCACACCCAGGATGTACCCTTAGGCTGGAGACACACCTGACAACCAAGGGCCGTCCCTGGGACACCTCTGGAGTAAGCCATGTAAGCCATGAGCGCTGCACCCGAAGTCCCACGCCCCACCGGTGCTGCCCGCTCCCCAGTGGCCATTACACAAGCACCATTCATACAAATGCAGTACTCTAGGAAGTAAGCGGACACGATGTTGGAAACATGGAAACAGGTCCTACCCCTTGTGTTCGTGGAGAAGCCGGAAAACGGCGCAGCACTCGGGTTGCAGGCCCCTCACCTTGAGCGCCTTCATGAGACAGTCGTGCAGGCTCATCCCATTGCGCACGCTGACCTGCAGACAAAGGACACGGTTAGCCAGCCCGGCGCACCCCTCAGGAGGCAAGTGGGACTGAAGGCAGCAGTGTGGAAGGGTGTGTGGAGACGCGTGACAGTGCTGCTTATTTACAAGCGAGAGCTGAGTAGAAAAGTCCAGCAACGGGTAAATATGTCGGGGCCAGAGCACAGGACAACAGGGAGGCGTTTGCCTCACACACAGCTGATCCAGGGTTCAGTCCCCAGCACCCCATATGCACTCCGAGAACCACCTGAGTGTAGAGGCACCAGTAACCTCTGAGTTACTGGTGTGGTCCAAAACCAAACACACAACATACACACATCCCACCCACACACAAACAGTAGAGCATGGCATATGTGTCGCATTTTGCTACTATATTATGTACAGTGCCTAGAAAAAGGGTGTTTATAATGTTAATTAGGGGAAAACACATTTCAAGTTAGGGCCAGAGCAACAGCACAGCAGGAGGGTGACCTGGGTTCAATTTCAGGCACCTCATATAATCCCCTGAGCACCACCCAGAGTGACTGACCCCTGAGTGCAGAACCGTGCTGGATGTGGCCCCCCCAATTTTTATTAATTTTTAAAACATTATTTAGATGGGGCTGGAGCAATAGCACAGCGGGTAGGACGTTTGCCTTGCACGCGTCCGACCCGGGTTCAATTCCCAGCATCCCATATGGTCCCCTAAGCACCGCCAGGGGTAATTCCTGAGTGCAGAGCCAGGAGTAACCCTGGTGCATTACCGGGTGTGACTCAAAAAAGAAAATAATAATAATAATAATAATAAAAATAAAACATTATTTAGGTTGCTGGAGCGATAGCACAGCGGGTAGGACGTTTGCCTTGCACACAGCTCTACCAGGTTCGATTCCCAGCATCCCATATGGTCCCCTGAGCACTGCCAGGGGTAATTCCTGAGTGCAGAGCCAGGAGTAACCCCAGTGCATTACCGGGTGTGACTCAAAAAAAAAAATTATTTAAGGATATATAAGTTACATGTTTATGTCATGTGTGAAAGATACATACCTAACTGCTACTCTCAGGAGTGGGCTGATAGCTAAAAAGTCAACTTTGCCCACACGTCTCCCTTGTTCAACTCACTAAAATGTACATGCCAATGTGAATGATCTACCAGAAGGAAAAACAAGCTGCTTTTTTGGGCTGCAGAGACAGCACCTGCCTGGCACACGCCCAACCTGGGTTCCATCCCTGGCATCCCATACGCCCCGTCCCCTTTTGGCATTGCCGGGAGTAGCCATAAGCGTTGACAGCTGTGACCCAAAAACAAACAAAATCTATCTCGGGGCCAGACAGCACATGGGGAAGGCACTTGCCTGGCACACAGCGGACCCCAGTTCAATCCCCAGCACCACACAGAGACCCCCATGCCACAACAGGAGAGATCCCTGAGCACAAAGCTAGGAGTGAGCCCTGAGGACGCCAGATGCAAACTCCCACCCACAAATTTAGGGCTGGGGAGAGAAGACAGAGCTCAAGGAGCCTGCCGGGCCCCTGATGACCCTGGTTCAACCCCTGGCGCCACAGGTGGGTGTGCCCAAAAACAACAAGAAAGATTTTACAATTCAATTTATTTTCAACAAAATGGCTGATGTTCCTAACAAAATTTCCCAGGTGGGGATGGGGTGGTGCTCAGGGCACTGCGGGACCCCCATTGGCGGGCCCCCAAATTTTCCTTCTTGTGCATACCTCACCCTAGTCAGGGCAAGCAGGGGAGAATCAAGCTTCCACCCTGCTCTAAGGACAAATACTGCGGCAGCGTGGACACGGCACACAGCACGCCAGGCAGCGTCCCGGCTCTCCAGAGCCCCCGATCTAAAAGTCAGGCAATATTATCCCTATATTTTTCTGCAACTGGACAGCTGGACTTCGAGAAGAATGTTTACATACCACCGTTCTTTGCTTGTTCGGCAAGAAAACACGTATTGTGTTGCTTGTCTTGGAAGAATCCGTAAGTTTGCCATCATCTGACGCCCGACGCTGATAACCAAACTGCTGGACTAAGGTAGGTGAAATGCAGCTGGAGCCATCAAACACCGCGTCTTTAAACCCAAAACCATTGCTGATCGTCTTCCAGGCCCCCTGTATGTGCTCCATGGAGGCAGCTTACACAGTACTAAAGCCTGGCAAGGAAGATAAAGAAAACAAGACAATCCGGTCAGCAATGCCACACACAGAGGAACTGAAAATAACAGTAGGTGGGGTTCTTGTGATACCTTCTACTTAAATAAGTCAGAAAAGTTCCGTATTATATTTCCATAGAAGAATTCACAGACAAATGAGAAAACTGTGAAACAGGGTTCAAAAAACTCAACCAGGTTATACCGTCAAGTTAAAAATACCTAAAACATGGGCAGGAGAAGGAGAGACAGTACGGTGGGTAAGGCATTTTCCTTACATGCAGTTGACCCAAGTTCAATGCCAGCATCCCAGACGGTCCCCTGAGCACTGCCAGGAGAGGGGCAATACCCCTCACCCCATTCCAAGCATTGAAGGGTTTGGCCCAAAACCCCATAACAAAACAAAATGCACCTAAAACATGAGCCTAAACCTTTTGACTTCTAGTTTGACACTTTGTTTTTTTGTTTTTGATGTCTGAGTCACACCTGGCAATGCTCAGGGGACCATAAAGAATGACAGGGATCGAACTGGGTCTGCCACATGCAAGCAAACGCCCTACGTGCTGTTACTATCGCGCCAGCCCCTTAATACTTACTTTCTCAGTCTCATTTTTCTACTTTGGCTCGTATCTAATTAAATGTAAGCAACTAACCTTGAGTATGAAAATCATGTTAGTACTATGAGAAGTAAAATATTCTGCCACCAGGCCAGAGAAACAGTACAGCAGGGAAGACGCTAGCCTGGCACACAGCTAACCAGGGTTTGATCGCTGGCACCCATACGATAGGTCCCCAAACCTGCCAGGAGTAATTCCTAAAGTCAGAGCCAGAGTTAAGTCCTGATCACCGCCAGATGTGGCCCAATCTCTCTCTCTCTCTGACACACACACACACACACACACACACACACACACACACACACTTTTGATCATTATTTACTACCTTCAAGGAAGAAAATCAGCACTTCAGCATTTCTAGAATGTGTTAGATGCCTTACATATAATAATTTTATTTATCCAAAGGTCCCAAAGATTTTAAGACCCTTTTTCCATTTACGACTGTTTTTAAAAAGCAAAGCACAGGGTTCATTGTCCCCCAGCTGGAGTGTGGCCTGCATGTCCCCCTGAGAATGTGCTCTCAGTCTTTTTCCTTCAGAGATGCCTGTATTCACACTCAAACACACCTCTTATTCCCCCCCCCCATATTTGTCTAAATAAAAAATTTTTTTAACTAAAACTACCTTACTTCGCTTAAAGCACTGGGGGTGGGGGTGGGGGTGGCAGAGAGAGTACGGGGTTAAACTGCTGCCTCAGCCCTGAGCACTGAGTCAGGAATCGCTCCTAATCACCACCACATACGCCCTAAAACCCAAACAAAGGAAGAGCAGAACTATAATGCAGCTCGCCCAGAAACACACAGTGGATTACAAACAACCAGCCTACATAGCGGTTTAAATTTTTTTCCACCACAGCGTCAGAATTCGATTTTGGTTTATAAGCAGAAGTGCTCAGAGAGACAGTCACCCAACAAAAAAAAGAACCAAATGTCTGAATGAGTCACCAAGAAACTGCAATCGCTGTCCGCATCCAGTCACACAATGACAGAAAGTCAACCCCTCTGGGTGAGGACATGCGATGCCCTGGTGACCGGGCATCAAGAGCTGTGCGGAAGCCAGAGGTCACTTCTTTAGAAGGCTGAGGTTATATGGACGCCCTCCTTCCCAAGCCTCCCTCCGCCTGAAACGGGAGTTCTCATCAACTCCTCCTTGCTGTTGTTTTTGGGGGGTGGGGGTGCCGGGATGACCCCGCTCCCGCAGGCACAGCGCGCCCCAGGCCGGTGCAGCACCCTGTGCTCACGCTCACACGCCCGCCTTCAGCCCTCGAGCAGACGGCGTGGGGACGACACCCCCACAGAGCGCCGGACTGGGTGGGATCAAACTGGCGCAGGCAGACGCTGTGCTGGCACCTTTCTCCTGTCAGACCTGAATCAAGAGGGGACGATACGATCAGGTATCAGCCTTTCAGGTTTTTTTCTGGGGGTGGGAGAGTGTTAGAAGGATGCTGGGAGTTGAACCCAGGGCCTCTTACACGCAAGGCACATCCTCTGCCACAGTACCACATCCGAGGCCAGAGGTGTTAAAGCACCTGGGGTGCTTGTGGCTGACTTGGGTTTGATCCCTGGCATCCTATATGATCCCTGAGCACAGAACCAGAAGTAAGCCCTGAGCAACGCCAGATGTGGAAAACCAAATCGAAACTCCTTAACAAGTCGTGCAAGACCTCATTTCAGAAGTCATGTTTCCTATCTCAGGTCATAAGAATCTACTGTCCCCTTCACCTGCAAGGCCGGAATCCGCAGGAACAAGCCAGCAGGCCCTTCCCCAGTGTGTTCTTCAACCTTTCCACGCCGCAGTCCAGGCCGGCAGTCTTAACCAGGGCCCTAGGCCACCTGTCAACCCTTCACACCTGCTGATTGGCACAGTCCGTACACAGCTGAAGGTCACCTCTTATATCACTAAGGTCCCAATCTGCCCAGAAGAATAGATCGGTGACTCTGCAAGGTCACGGTCCCAAGTTCAATCCCCAGGGTCACTACACGCACCAAGAGCAATCCTGGCAGTGATCTGACCCCACCGCAGCCCGGTGTGTGCGAGCACAACTGAAAGGGTGCAACACCAACACAGACTAAAGTTAAGAGATCAGTGAGCACTGTGTCAGGAGGCATCTGACAAGCAATGTATGAGCACTGCAACAAGCCACTAAGCATCACAAGCAAAAGTATGGGAGCGCCACAATCAAGACGGCAGCCCCACGAAGTACACAACCAAAATGTGCCAACACCTGTCAGGTGTACCGCCACCCCAATCGCGACGACGACGATGGGAAACCAAGAGGGTGGAGAGAAATGGTTCTGCTTTAGGGAGACGTTTCTGTCACGCTACATCCATTCCAAACACAGGAGGAAATCTACCTCTTCCTGAACTTCCTGGTGGAGGCCAGAATCAAGCCAAGTGACCACCCGCAGGTTTCCAATTCTATACAACTAGTGGACCTATCTTGGGGCAGCGGGACAATCTCAAAACAATAGCAAAACACAAGAATAGTCATGGCAGCAATAACCCGTAAAGTACCTCAGACCCAAAGTCATGAATTAAGACAGGAAACATTTCAGTCAAGTCTGGTATAAAATCAGACCTTGCAAGAAGAAGCACTGCCCGAAAGCCATGGCTAAAGATCTAATTTGGAGAATATTTATCCAGGGGCCAGACCAATAGCACAACGGGTTGGTGCTTGCCTAGCATGTGGCCAACCTGGGTTCAATCCCTAGCATACAGTGTGGTCCCGAGCCCTGCCTGGAGTGACCCTTGAGCACAGAGCCTGGAGTAATCCCTGAGCACTGTTGGCGTTTCCTACCCCCCACCAAATAAAATTTATCCAGACTGACTAAAATGTGTTTATACTCAAGTTTAAGAAAATCCCTACTTGGGCTGGAGCAATAGTACAGTACAATATAGGCAGGGTGCTTGCCCTGAACAGATCCCACCCAGGTTCCAGCCCCCACTCCCCAAGCCCCACCAGGAGTGATCCCTGAGCAAGAAGAAGGGCAAACCCTGAGCACAGCTGAGTGAGACCCAAAAAAAAAAGAAAAAAAGGGGGGGGGGGGGGAGAGAGAGAGAGAGAGAGAGAGAGAGAGAGAGAGAGAGAGAGAGAGAGAGAGAGAACCAAGTTTAAGAAAAGCCCTCCCTGGGCTGGAGTGATAGTACAGCACGCACTAGCAGGACACCTGCCTGCCACACATCCAGCCTGAGTTCAATCCCTGGCACAACATATAGTTCTCCAAACCCCTCCAGGAGTGATTTCTGAGCTCAGGGCCAGGAGCAAGCCCTGAGCACCACCAGGTATATGGCCCAAGACACAAGAAGGAAAAAAAACAAGTCTCTAGCTTGGTTCTGTCTGAGAAAACACCTAAGGGTCTGGAGAGAGTGTTAGAGCGCACGTCTGGACTGCAGCACTAGAACCTGTCAGGGGTCATGCTGTGCAGGCGTCACACATAGCGTCAGTGCTTGCACACACCTGGTGGTATGCCAGGGTTGTCCACTGTGTGGCAGCACTGGGCGCCATGACAGAGCCACGACAGCGGAATTCAGGGCACTTGGGCTTGTACTGGGTATTGAACCTGCAGCCTCAAACTTGCACAGCAAGTGCTTTTGCCACTACTGTGGACAGGTACTTGCCTTGCTCCCAGACAACATGGGTTTGATCCCCAGCACCCCATATGGTCCCCCGAGCTCCGCCAGAACTGATTCCTGAGTTCAGAGCTAGGAGTTACCCCTCAGTATCACCAGGTGCACCAGGTGTGGCCCCAAAACAAAGTGAAAAACTACTGGGCTTTACTGCTACAATTGCAGATGTTGGAGAGACAGAACGGTGGGTGTTTGCCTTACACATGGATAACCCAGGCTCAAATCACTGGCACCACATATGACCCCCTGAATGCTGCCAGGAGTAATTCCTGAGCAAGCACCACTGGGTGTGGCCCCAAAACCAAAATAAATAAAAATTTAAGCAGTAAAAATAAATTGCAATTTACTCTTCAGCGGTAGGGCGTTTGCCTTGCAGACAGCCAACATGGCCGACCCGAGTTCGATTCCTCCGGCCCTCTCGGAGAGCCCGGCAAGCTACCGAGAGTATCTCGCCCGCACAGCAGAGCCTGGCAAGCTCCCCGTGACGTATTCGGTATGCCAAACACAGTAACAACAAAGTCTCCAATGGAGGCGTTACTGGGCCCGCTCGAGCAAATCGATGAACAACGGGAGGGCCTTTACCTTTAATGTAAGAATGACACCATTGCCACCTGTTGTCACCACTTGCTTTTCTGTCATCACCACTGCCAGAAACAGCCCAGGACCCACACATAAGAGGCAACGATCATTTCAAACACTACACGGGGGCCGGATCAGAGCTCACGGCTGGTGCGGGTTCCACACGGCGCTCTCGGCAGCC